TCTGATTGGTTCTTTTTCTATTTGCTATCTCTTGATGGTCTTATTTCATTCAATCTTAAGTCTGGTGAGCATTTTTATAAGCATTATCTTGAACTCTTTAATGGATAGATTGCTTACTTCTGTTTCATTTACTTATTTTTCTGAAGTTTTGTCATGTTCTTTTGCTTGAGAAAAAAAGGAATTCTGTGTCTCTTCATTCTGTTTCATTCTGTGTTTGCTTCTGTGGGTCAGATGAAAGGGCTGCCTCTCTTGGTCTTGAAGGTGTGGTCTTGGTAGGAATGTTCCCTGGGTAGACTGCATGTGGTGGTTTTGGCTGGCTTGCTGGGGGCCAGGTGGCCATGAACTGGGATGTCCAGGTGCTGTGGCTTCCAGGGTATAGGTCAGGGTACTCCTAGGTTGGTGCCAGCTGGGGCTGCTCTGGCAGCAAGGCTGGTGTCAAATGGGAGGAGGCCAGTGGTCCCCAGGTGGGCAGGGGGCTGGGGCTTTCCTGGTGAGGCTCTGGGGACAGATGTGCATCATTGAGCAATCTCAGGTAGATACTGGCTGGTGCCTTGCTATCAAGGCAGCTAAAGGGTGGGGTACAGTCTGGGGTTCTCTGGGTGGGTGCCAGTTGGTGCCACACTAGTGGCATATCCAGGGACCAGAGGGGCATGGTCTGGAGTTCACCCAGTTGGGCACCCACCATGGCTGGCCATACTAACAGGGCAGCATTTGATGCAAGGGGCACAAGCTGGGTGAATCAGTGTCACTGCTGGGCTGCACTAGTGCCCTCTTGATGGGACTGCTGGGTATCTGGCAGGTGTGTTCTGGGATACGGCCTGGTCATGTCTGGAGCTGGTGTGAGCACCCTGGCCTTACTCCTGTCTTCACTCTCAGTGTGTGGACTGCAGGGGGGTGCTAAGGGGATGTGAACAATGGTACTTGCCAGCATCTCCAGTCCCAGAGAGAATTGGAGCATTTTCTATGCTGTTTGGTGGGTGTTTTAGTCCCCAAAATTGGTTTCCTTCACTTACAGTGTGTCGTTAAACCCTTTTAAATGGTGATGTTTTTCCTGTGCCTCGGGGCAGGCACTCTGTGCTCTGGGACCTCAGTGGTGTCCCTCCATGCTGCAGGGCTTCATTGGGGTGGGCCTCCTTCTGTTACTATGTCGCTCTTTCTTCTGCGATTTTTACGTGGTTCTTTTTATCTGTCAACTGTGCAAAAGGTCCTCAGTCAGGCCTCGCTCAGAATGAAATGCTCTGTGTGCAGGCGTACATAGACTGTGTGTGTGGGAGCTGTGGTCAGACTCTTTCTATGCTGCCATCTTGGTGGACCTGCCTCCCCTGCAGTTAACTGCTTTGTTATGTAACTTAGTGAAGTTTATCCAGAGAAAAATGGGTCCTGCTTCTTATGTTGGGATTACCAAGTTAATTACTGGATTATGTAATAGTTTTACAAAACATTAAAAACAACTTCCTTTCCCCAAAATAGAAGGTAGGGAATGGTATCAGCTTTGAAAAAAAATTTTTTCTGTGTGATTAGGCCTACTCTAGCAGCTTTCTGTTTTTGCTGAGGCCACTATATATGAATATATTTTAATATATGAAGCATAATTGACAGTATCAGCTGTGCAATATGATTTGATATTTATATCTCTTTCAAAATGGTCACAAAATGTCTAGTATATCCTAACAAATGTTTTAAATATTTAAAACTCAGGTCAGTAGCTTTTGATAAGCAGATTAGCTTTTTTCCCTTACTGTTACTTGTTGCATTTTTCCAGTTTGGTGCTTTAGCTCATTCATTTACCCAATAAATATTTATTTGGGATCTGTTATGTGCTATGGCCAATTCTGTGTGTCAGAGCACTGAACAAGGCAGATAAAGATGCTCTCATGAAGTTCACATTATAGTGGGAACAGAGAAGAAAATAATTTACATAAGAACATAATATACTAATGGTTGTTATGAATAATTAACAAGGAATAATATGACAACACAACTACCTCCGAGTTGATAATCAGAAATGTCTTCTTTGAAGATATGGCCTTTAAACAGACCATAACCCAGTGTATACAAGGTTTGGGATAATCCAGACAGAGCAACTATTGCAGTCATTCTTAGGCAGAAATGCGTTTTAAATGGGTTCTACAAACAGAAGGTCAGGGTGGAGAAGCATAGCTTTGGTGGGTGAACACACGGGTGATGTGGTCAGTCAGGGAATAAGGGTTTAGCTCATCTTTGGTCTTGTGGTTAGGAATTTAGGATTATAGCAAGATTCATTAAGAAACTAGTAATATAAACTTATTTATACTTTATATAGTTCCCTGGATTATTTTAGATTGGAGAGGAGTGCAAAATTGAAGTAAAAAAGACCAACCATAGAAAGAGATGCTATTGTTGGTTTAGGGTGGTAGCAATAGCAGTGTATAAATACTAATGAATTTATATTGTGTTATAGCTGATAGGAGATGACATAGAACAATGAAGGAAAGAGTGGATTCAAGAGTGATTCTAAGGCTTGGGCTTTGACTTGAATAATTGAGTAGATAGTGGGGTCATTTATTGAGATGAAGGACACTGGGCAAGAACAATTTAGGGGTCCAAATGAAGCGTTCTTTGATGTATGTGGACTAGCATTTTCTCAATGCATTCATTATTTGGAAAATCCTGTGGCTCTCATTCTATTTAAACAATATGAAATAAATGTCCATCAGATTCTAGACACTATGCTAGATGGTTGGTGTGCCACTAAAATAAAGATGGATCTCCTGCTCTTCTAGAACATCTAGTAAGGGAAATAGAGATGGTAATCCAGTATTCATTCAATAAAACTACAATGTTGATTAGGGTGGGGGGAAAAAAAGAGGTACATGCTGTGGTACACTGCAGTAGAGTGATTTGACCTAGTTAAGGAAGGCTTGGGAGGTTTTCCTAAAGAAACATTCAACTTGAAAGCACACTAGTGATTCTGTGAAAAAGAAATAAGAAATTCAAGGGGCTCATAACAGGAAGGAGTTTGCCACGTACTTGGAGGTGATAAGGATTCCAGGCTAAGCAACTTTTTTTTATTAAGGTATCATTGATATACACTCTTTTGAAAGCTTCACTAGAAAAACAATGTGATTATTACATTCACCCCCATTATCGAGGCTCCCCATGCCCCATTGCAGTCACTGTTTATCAGTGTAGTAAGATGCCATAAAGTCCCTATTTGTGTTCTCTGAGCTACACTGTCTTCCCCATGACCCCACATACACCATGTGCACCAATCGTGATACCACACAATCCCCTTCTCCCTCCCTTCCCACCCCTCCCCTTTGGTAACCACTAGTCCCTTCTTGGAGTCTGTGAGTCTGATGCTGTTTGGTTCCTTCAGTTTTGCTCTGTCCTCACTGATCCACAAATAAGGGAAATCATTTGGTATTTGTCTTTCTCTGCCTGACTGATTTCACAGAGCATAATACCCTCTAGCTCCATCCATGTTGTTGCAAACGGTAGAATTTGTTTCTTTCTTATGGCTCAATATTCCATTGTGTATATGTACCACATCTTTTTTATCCATTCATCTACTGATGGACACTTAGGTTGCTTCCATTTCTTGGCTATTGTAAATAGTGCTGCAATAAACATAGGGGTGCATATGTCTTTTTGAATCTGAGAATTTGTTTTCTTTGGGTAAATTCCTAGGAGTGGAATTCCCAGGTCAAATGGTATTTCTATTTTTAGTTTTTTGAGGAACCTCCATCATATTCCTTTCCACAATGGTTGAACCAGTTTACATTTCCACCAACAGTGTAGGAGGGTTCCCCTTTCTCCACAACCTCACCAGCATTTGTTGTTCCTAGTCTTTTCTATGTCAGCCATCTTAACTAACAGGTGGATAGTATTGTTGAAAATCACTGAAGTGTGTGTACAGTTGGAGGGGAGGGGGCATGTAATGAATACACTTGAAAGGGAAAAAATGTTCATTCCCATTTGAAATGTTGAGTTTGAAATATCTTTCAGACATCAGAGGAGAGATGTCACGTAGAAAATAAAATATAAAATGCTTCAGATGTAAAGAGAGTTCTGGGCTAAAAATACCTTGAAGTCATCTGTCTGCTAATGACAATCAAAGCAGTGGATGGATGAGACATGTTAGGGTGACAGAGTGGGAAGGAGACCTTAATATTGGGTCTGTAAGGAAACTCCAAGGTCCAAAAAGTTAGGATACTCTGTTTTCCTCCTGGCGAATTGCAATGCAGCAAATTCAGTGACTGCTTTTTAGGTTGCATACATGCAGCTGTTTCCTACATACAGCATTGATTATTTTATCCTGTTGTCTGTGACTGCATATTCCGAAACAAGTAAGTTCCTAAACCTGATTAGTCAGTCAGCTTTGAGTTCAAACTGACCTTCCTTTAGCATGTCTACGAGAATATATAGGAGTGAGGGAATAAAATAATATATTAGTATAATGATGACGGGCCTGGGTTTTGGAGTCAGACAGCCCTGGTTTAGTCTGTAGCTCTAGCCCAGGCTGGTTACACTCGCCAGTGTAGCTAACCACTTTGTGCCTTATTTCTACAAATAGAGGAAGACTGCTTTAGAGGTTAAATATGATCATGTATGTAAAGTACTTAGTATACATAAAACACTTTCTTTTAATCCCAATTTTTAATAGATTGCTGAGACAGGTTAGGTGTCCCATTTACCGACTAGCCATATTTTGAAGCATAGCCTATTGGACATTTTCTTCAAAAGTGACACTTCTGTGTTCTAGAAAGAAATGAGAATATTCTTAATTTTATACTAATGTAAGTGTAGAACTGGCATATTACATTTTGTAGATGTTGACATTAAATGGTCTACTTATAAATATAGTCATTGCAATAAAAATATTTTATTGATACATCATTTATATTTAATTAGTTTATACTCCATTTATGGATATTGACAGGATCAGAGGCAACTGAAAATAAGGTTACTATGTAAACTCTGATTCTTCTTCTCTGGACCAAAAAAAAGGATCCAAACACTTTTACAGTACATGAAGTTGAACTTTTATTTGGAAAGTTGAGTTTCTTGTAAAATGAAAATATCCTTAAGCCGTACATTTTCATAAGCAAATACAAACACCACCTACAGTACAAACACATTTTAATAAAGTTCTGCCATGAATATTAATCTAAGCAAAAAGAAAAAAAAAGGGTATCAGGTAAACTCTACATACCTTTTATCTTTTGATGATGTCATTAAACAATTTAAGATACAAAACAAAGTAAGCTTTGGCTCAATCCTACTTCACTATGGGAAATACGAGTATACTTTCTAGCACAATTACAAACCCAATCCCTTTATAATCAATTTAAAATCATAACAAGTATCATATCTTAATGGCATGTAAACATATTTAGGACTTCAGTTGGCAATTATGTTTTAAATGCTTAGAAAAACACACCGACATTTCTCATTATTGTTCTCTCTCTAGTTCATCTCTTCCATGAATATAAAATAGAAAAAAAATATTATTTGAGACTTCCAGCATAATTTCATTGTGCTTTTACACTTTTATAAACATGGTCACATCTAAAATACCAGATGACTTTGTATTGAGAGAATAAACCCACCAAATTCACATTCTCTTATAAATACACATGCAAAATTAGTGAAAAAACACTTTCATATAGCAAAGACCCTGCTTAATTTTTTCTGATTAATAATTTTTGATGGCATGTGCAAGTCCTACTGCTCATTGAACAGTAGATTCCTGTAGATTTGTTTTTCTACAAAAATATATTTATGCACTCACAGGAAAAAAGTTGGGTTGGTACGTATGGGGGTGACCTTTCAATATATCATTAAAGGTTTGTTTATGAAGTTAAAAGGCATCTTAACTTTTATCATTTTCAAATTTTTCTTCATAAAAAAGAACACCCTGTGACAAAGGATAAGGTAACTGAGATAATTGTTAGCACTTCATAATTGAGATAGTTTGAAGCAAAGGGGTCAAGCAACTTGCTAAGGTTTATGTACAGAATCAGTGCTGGAACCAGGAAGAGAACTTGGATTTTCCCACCCCTTGGACAGCTCCCTAGGAACTCATCCCCACCTTGACATTATATACACCTTGACATTATATACATTCTCTTACATCAAAATAATATTGGCAGTAGAGAAAGCTAGCTATGACCTGTTCCTTCCTTCTGCACTGAAGATTCCCAGCAGAAGCCAGATGGTATTGAGAAAAGGTAATACAGTGACAGCAAAAGGCAGCCATAATGCAGTCTCATTTTCAGAGCCATAAGTTTTGGCCATTCAGAAAATATGAGCAGGAACATCCTCATTAGACAGCTAAAGGAAAACATTGAGGTCTCGTGCAAGCAGACAGAATTCGAAACTGACGTATGTCAGTAGTTGTACTAATTTGTACTTTAAAGATTATTAAATTTATAATCTACTCCTAATCCTGTCTGGAGATTATTTCCATCCTGCATGATTCTTTTCAAACCTTTTTGGCTGGTGACATGGAAGAGGAACTAGAATAATAAAACTAAACTCTGTAAGTCCCAACCTTGGCCTTACTGATAGCTAGGAACCAGAAATTGCTCCCAGATAAGTCAAAATATGATTGTTCCTCCATAAAAGTTGTGCCTTAGAAATCAGAGGGAGATGAAGCTCAAAGTAAAGCAATAGATATGCAGATCCTAATAGTCACACAGGCTGAGGAATAAGATGTCTTCCCTCTTTGGAAATTATTTCTGCGAGTTTGGTCAAATCTTGAGCTTGTGATGTTCTGGTTTAGATAAGACATTCTTTTGCTGCCTGTGCATTTTGGAGGGCATATAAGGTTTAAAATGACATGTGGATTACTGCATTGACCTTATAAACACCCCTAATTGTGGTCCACAAGAAATGGTGTGCTGCAAATATCAAAGTCAAGGATTTAACAATATATGCCCATAGCTACATTTCAAAAAGTAAAATAAATTTCATGTCAGCATAATTAAGAAGTTTGTGGTAAGGTGAAAAAATGTACTCATAGATAAGAACTTGAACATTGAATTTTACTGACATGCATGCACAGCTTTTCATACTATCTCTAAATGTCTTCATGTACAATTATAGGACTAGTAAGTAGCCCACATACCAGGAAACAAACTCTCTGAACTTGTCCTGACAGAAGAACAACTTAGAAGAAGATCCCACCCTGACGATGTTTACAATAAGAAAGGCAGACATATGTAATGGGAATCGTTACTATCAAGAGTTTCTCATTTAGGGGCTGGGAAAGGATTACACTCAACAATGAACTCTTATTTTGAAAAATATGAAGACATGTCCCTCAATATTTATATGATATTTTATTTTGAGGCTGTTGGAAAAAGCAATGTAAGAACAAAATCCAAATGCTTTATACAAAGGCTTCAGTTTGGGAACCTCATGTTACTGGTTGTAGCTCTGGAATGATGAAAAATGGTGTCTAGATACTCCAGCTATACAGATCTGCCTGTTAATGTTTTCTTCCTCATTTGAAAATAAAACACATCTATATTTTAAATTGTGTGAATATTAACATAATATGTACAGTGCATTCACGAAATCTATGTGAGCATACTATTATATAAACATAGAAAAACAGGTAAAAGCAGTTGATTTAGAAATGGAGACATTAAATAGGTATACCTATTAGATTCCAGTGCCATGGACACCTCATGCCTGTTCTTCCATGAGATGACCTTCTGCCCACCGCTTCCTCTGTAGCTGAGCTTAGTCCAAGAAAACCACAAAAACAAAGATGTTTGTATATGTCATAACTGATAGACATAAAGAATTCATGTTGACACTGAGAAATAATTTGTTTAAACATGACCGTCTCTGGGCAGATAGGTAGCTCAATAAATACTAGTTGATTGTTCACCTAAGACTTCTACTAAAAGTTTAAATAATTCATTTAGACTGCATATATTCAATGAATTGTTTTAATAAGACATTCATATTCCTCTTTACATTTTAAATAACCAGTTTGCTTACCATCTTTTAACCTGTAGTGAAGCTAAGTCACTAAACAGTTCTCAGAGGCTGAATACAAATATGCAGAGAAAATCATCTATGCAAACACAGTGAACAGCAAAACCAGGCAAATACGGAGTATACTGGATGGATACTTTGGATTCAGTTGAGGTGAATCTAAATACAAGATTTGTTTTGTGTTTGCATTTTGAGCACCTGAAAAAAACAATAACAAAAAAAAAAAACAGGCCTATAGTGGTTGGTATTTTATTTTTTCAAGGCAGTGCTATTTTTCTCGACATAACTGCAGGATGTTCAAATTCTGGATGAAATCTTTTGTCCATACGTTTCTACTCCTCTGTGAAAGTTCTTGCTCCCTTGAACATATAAATATGGAAGGTTGGTGTGGACTGCAGATGTTGTTTGCTTGTGTTTATGCTCGTAGCGGAAATGTTGCTGTAGAACTTCCATTGCTTTCAACAGAGCCTTTCTCCTTAGCTCCTGCATACGCCCCAATAAATGACCCGTCTTCATTGAATAGCCTGTGCTCGCCTTCTCCGTATTCTACTAGGCTGTCGGCACTTCCCGTGGCCTGCATCTCTCTGTTAAGGGACCTAAGGCTTCCTTTGAGAGGTTTTTCATCACTGTCACTAGGATACAAAAAAAAGAATAGCTCAACAAAATGTAATAGGGAGATATTCACTTAAAGCGTTAAATGCCAAGTGGTCTGATTATTTTCAGGATATTCATATTCACATTGAAGACAGATAAACCAAATAACCCTTTCACAACACTTCAACTTTCCTTTAAAATTGGGAGCTTTTGTGATACATGCAGACATTTAAACTGTTGACCGACATAGAGGACAAATGTTTTTTCCTCTTATATTCATGAATTTTTAGAACTCTGGTCATGAAGTATTGGTCCTCTGTCTTTACCTTTGATCCTGTGCATTCCCCCCAAATACTTCTAAAAATTTCTCATTTGTTTAGGTTAATCTATCAAATTGTGTTTCCTGTAACCAAAGAACTTTCTTCAATATAGTTTATGAACTCAGGTTTGTAAAAGAAAGATAAGAAATGGCTAACATTTTTAGAACATAACTACTACAAGTATCCTGTTTTTGTGCTTTGGGTTTTGTTCTTAAAAAAAAAAAAAACAACTCCTGAGTTAGTGAAATGTATGTAAATGATAGGGTCTTTCAAATTTCTGAATTAATTTTTTTTTAAGAACTAACTATGTCACACTACAAGGTGTACACTAAATTAAAAGATTTTCTAAAAATTAAAAAAGGAAAAACTTGGAAAAAATCTCATTAGAATGTGATTACACTTTATAATTTGTGGTAGTCATCAGTGCTAAAATCAGATAGGCCTAGCGCTCAGGGTGGTACGCCCTGGCGGGGTGGCACTCCCCTGTCCTCTCTCAGTTACATTATTGCCAAATGACTTGATTTGGCCCAAGAAGAGTGAGCAAAGGTGGCATGTGTCAGTTCAGAGCCAGTGCTGGAGGCCATGTTCTTCTCCACTGCAGTGGTGAGCCTGGCTGATGCTCCTCTGCTAGCCAGTGGTCCCAAAGGACCAAGATGATCAGAGACGTCTGGGTTGGACACATCAGAAAGAAAAAGATTTTGATAGCAGTGTAACCCAGGCTATCCTGACTCATACAGTAACTGGGTCCAGAATTGGGGTGCTATGGTTCCAAAGACACATTCAGAACAAAAACAGAGTAGCATTGGCTTAGGCATCAATGAGTGAAAAAACTATTAGCAGAAGCTGAGGGATGAGAATTCATGTTGTACAGGGGGTGCAGCATCTGAAGAAGTCTCCAGAGACTAGATCATTTTCCTGTTGAACATCTTTTTGTGAAAGATGATGGAAAATATATTTTCTGCTTTAAAGGGGTCCCTGGTAAAATACTGCAGGAGGTAATTTTACCAATCCTTATAAAGCATCAACAGAGTACAGGAAAATGAGTTTTTAACGAGACATTGTCCTACTTTTCTTGCCATAAAATTAAAATACTTTTGAAATGCAGATATTACTAGTTCAAACAGTTGCCACAGGTCCCCAGTGATCCCTGTCTTTTACGGAATTTGAGAGACAATTTTTAAAGTTCCAAGTCTGTCTCTTTCTCTCTCTCCTTCCCTCCCTCCATTCCTCCTCTTCCTTTTAATGCTCCTTATTCTGGAAAGAACATAAAGCATTTTATCAATAAATACAAATATAAAGAAAGCATTTACTAAGTAGAAGAAAGAAAAATAAGAATAGAGCCAAGTTGAGCCTGTAACGGGGCTCAGATATTGATCAGTTAACCCAGGATAACCATGGTACTCCACATTCCTAGCTATAGTAACGGATCCAGGGAGGGGACAGCCAGGTCTGTTATCCGGTCTCACATGTGCTGAAGACCATTTCAGCCTGGAAGTGGCAATCTCTCTCTTGGCTGCAGTATATAGAGGACCTGATTTGAAAATGACAGCATCTCAGAAGGAGGAGTGGAAAGGGTGGAGGGAAGGTGAAGATGGAGAGCGACAGCAGGAGAGTGAGACGCTTAACATCCTCAAGAGCTACATCTACCCTATGACCGGATTCCTTTTAATTCTGGCACACTTCTGTACCTTTGTAAATTTGGTCAGACTCTGACCATTGTTGGGAGGACACAGTCTGTTTTGGATGATCCCTTACCAAAATCCCTCCTAGGCATCCCCTTTTCTATCTTAATCTCTCTGATTAATTACAGTTATTTAAATAGATAAGTATTTTCTTCTGCAGACTAGGTTCACCTTGAGCCCAGGGTTTATAACTTATTCACTAGGAGGTACACACAGTAAGTTTATGTTTATGAGTGTGAATGGAATACAGCCTAGATTCATAAAGGCCATGCTGAAGAGTGACTTCAAGATGTTTTAGCTGCCTCAAATAGATATTCAATCTAAACAAAATATCTCTTTGCATTAACACGTAGTTCTACATAGACTGCAGTTACACTACTACCCCAGACCCAGAAATTCAGTTGCTGTTACTTAAGTAGGCCCTATTTTTACAAACTATTCTTTAAAGAAGCATTACCATACAGTCCTGTAACTTATTTTAGAATAAACACGTTTTTTTTGTATGCTTAAGCTTATAACCTGATGAATGTGTTTGACGTTTTTATTTTAAAAATTTTTAAATTTTTTTATATTTAGGTACATAGAATAAAATGCACAAACTTTGGTGTACAGCTTCTTGAATTATGATGTGAATAGGCACTCTTATAGCCATTATCCAGATTCAGTTATCAAACAATCTCATCCCCCCACCCCTTCACCTATTTCATCCATCCTTCACTCCCCACCCCTTTGGTAAATACCAGTCTGTCTGTTCTGTGTTTGATCCATTACTATTTGTGCATTTGGATTTTTTAATATTCCACATATGAATGAAATGTGTGTTCATCTTTCTCTGACTTATTTCACCTAGCATAATAACCCTCTAAGTCCATCCATGTTGTTGCAAATGGCAAGGCTCCATTCTTTTATATGGCTGAGTAATATTCCATTGTATATACGTACCATATCTTTATCTGTTTATCTATCAATGGATACTTCATTGCTTCCATATCCTGGCTATTGTAAATATATGTGCTCCTATGTTTATCAAGGCATTGTTTTTATAGATTAGTAATTTAGTTTCCTTCAGGTAAATTCCTAGAAGTGGAATTGCAGGGTTGTATGGTATTTCTATTTTTAGTTTTGAGAAACCTCCATACTACTTTACATAGTGTCTGTACCATTTACACTCCTATCAGCAGTGTACGGGGGTTCCTGTTCCTCCACATTTCTGCACCTGTCACTTGTATTTCTTGTCTTATTATTTGCCATTCTAACTGGTGTGAGGTGATATTTAATTGTAGTTTTGATTTGCATTTCCATGATAAGTGATGTTGAGCATCTTTTCATGTATCTGCTGTCCTGTTATGTCTTCTTTAGAAAAATGTCTCCATGTCCTCTGCCCATTTTTTAATTGGATTATTTGTTTTTTTTATGTTGATGTGTTGAGTTTTATGACTTCTTTATATATCTTGGATATTACCCCTTATTAGATACATCATTGACAAATATATTCTTATATACAGTAGGTTGCTTTTTTGTTTTGTTGATGGTTTCTTTTGCTGTGCAGAAACTTTTTAGTTTGATAAAGTCCCACTTGTTTATTTTTGCTTTGTTTCCCTTGCCTGGGGAGACATATCCTGAAAAAAACTACTAATGTTGATGAAATACTGCCTATTTTTTGTCTAGGATACTGATGGTTTCAGATCTTGTATTTGAATCTAATCCATTTTGAGTTTATCTCTGTGTATGTTGTAAGACATCCAGTTTCATTCTTTTTCATGTAGTTGTCCAGTTTTCCCAGCACCATTTATTGAAGACATGTCTTTCCCCATTGTATATCCCTTCCTCCTTTGCCATATATTGACTATATAGGTGTATTTCTTTCTTTCCTTCTTTTTTTTTCATTGAAGTATCATTGATATACAATCTCAACACAGTGGTTCAACAGTTACCCATATTATTGAATCCCCACCCCTTCTAGCATGGTCACTAGATTCATAAAGGCCACTAGAATCATTAACTGTATTCTCCATACTGTACGTCCACATGACCAACTTGTATTGTGACTGTGAAATATTGTGCCCCTTTATCCCCTTCACCCTCCACCCTCACACCCTTGGTAACCACTAGTCCATTATTGGTGTCTATGAATCTACTGTTATTTTGTTCCTTCTGTTTTGCTTTGTTTTTATACTCCATAAATAAGTGAGATCATTTGGTATTTGTCTTACTCTGCCTGGCTTATTTCACTGAGTGTAATACCCTCTGGCTCCATCAATGTTGTTGCAAATGGTAGGATTTGTTTTCTTCTTATAGCTGAATAATATTTCATTGCATATATGTGCCAAATCTTCTTTAGCCAGTCATCTACTGATGAACACTTAGGTTGCTTCCACGTCTTGGCTATTGAAAATAGTGCTGCAATAAACAGAGGGATGCATCTGTCTTTTCAAATCAAGGATTGTTTTCTTCAGATAAATTCCAGAATTACTGGATCAAGTGGTATTTCTATTTTTAGTTTTTTGAGGAATCTCCATATTGCTTTCTCCAATGGTTGCACCAATTTACATTTCCACCAGTAGTGTAGGCGGGTTCCCATTTCTCCACATCCTCGACAGCGTTTGTTATTTGTCTTTTGGATAGTGGCCATCCTAACTGGTATGAAGTGATATTGGGGGTTAATTTTCATTTCTCTGATGATTAGCAATGTGGAACATTTTTTTCATGTGCCCATTGGTCATCTGCATTTATATGGAGAAGTTTCTGTTCAGGTCCTCCATGCATTTTTTAATTGGGTTATTTTTTGGGTGTTGAGGCTTATGAATCCTTTATATTTGGATGGTAACCCCTTCTCGGATAAGTCATTTATGAATATATTCTCCCATACTGTAGAATGCCTTTTTGTTCTGCTGATGGTGTCCTTTGCTGTAGAGAAGCTTTTTAGTTTGATGTAGTCCCACTTGTTCATTTTTTATTTTGTTTCCCTTGCCCAAGGAGATGTTTCCAGGAAAAAAGTTGCTCATGTTTATGTTCAAGAGATTTTTGCCTATGTTTTCTCCTAAGAGTGTTATGGTTTCATGACTTACATTCTGGGCTTTGATCCATTCTGAGTTTACTTATGTGTGTGGAGTTAGACAATAATCCAGTTTCCTTCTCTTATATGTAGTTGTCCAGTTTTCCTAATACCAGTTGTTGAATAGGCTGTCTTTTCCCCATTGTATATTCATGGCTCCTTTATTGTGTATTAATTGCCATATATATGTGGGTTTATATTTGAACTCTCTATTCAATTCCATTGATCTATGGATCTGTTCCTGTGCCAGTACCAAATTGTTTTGATTACTGTGGCTTTGTAGTAGAGCTTCATTGAAGCTAGGGAGTGTAATGCCACCAACTTCGTGTTTCTTTCTCAGGATTTCTTTGGCTATTCAGGATCTTTTGTGGTTCCATATGAATTTTAGGATTATTTTCTCTAGTTCATTGAATGCAGTTGGTATTTTGATAGGGATTGCATTGACTCTGTAAATTGCTTTGGGTAGGATGGCTATTTTAACAATATTAATTCCTCCTATCCATGAGCATGGGATAGATTTTTATTTATTGGTCTCTTCTTTAATTTCTCTCAGGAGTATCTTGTAGTTTTCAGAGTATAGGTCTTTCACCTTCTTGGTTAGGTTTATTTCTAGGTATTTTATTCTTTTTGATGTAATTTTAAATGGAATAGTTTTCCTGATTTATCTTTCTGATTTATTGTTAATATATAGGAATGCAACAGATTTCTGTATTAATTTTGTGTCCTGCAACTTTACTGAGTTCAGTTATGAGTTGTAATAGTTTTTTGGTGGAGTATTTTCTATGTATAATATCATATCATCTGCAAACAGTGACAGTTTAACTTTTCCTTAACAATTTGTATGCATTTCATTTCATTTGTGTTGTCTGATTGCCATGGCTAGGCCCTCCAGTACTATGCTGAATAAAACTGGTGAGAGTGGGCATCCTGTCTTCTTCCTGATCTTAGAGGAAAAGCTTTCAGCTTTTCACTGTTGAGTTTGAGTATGATGCTGTCTGTGGGCTGTCTTTATTATGTTGAGGTACATACTCTCTATACCCATTTTGTTAAGAGTTCTTATCATGAATAGATGTTGACTTTTATCAAATGCTTTTTCTGCATCTGTTGAGATGATCATGTACTTTTTGTGAATGTGATATATCACAATGATTGATTTGAAGATAGTGAACCATCCTTGCATCCCTGGAATAAATCCCACTTGTCTTGCTGAACAATCCTTTAATGTAATTTGATTTTGGTTTGCTAATATTTTGTTGAAGATTTTTACATATATACATATGTATATACACATACACACACACACACATGAGGGATAATAGTCTGTAATTTTCTTATTTTGTAAAGTCTTTTTTTTTGGCATTAAGGTGATGCTGGCCTTGTAGAATGAACTTGGAAGCCTCCCTTCCCCTTCAATTTTTTGGAATAGCTTGAGGATAGGTATTAACTTTTCTTTGAATATTTAATAGAGTACTCCTGTGCAGTTATCTGGTTCTGGAATTGTTTGTTGGGAGCTTTACTGATTACCAACTCAAGTTTGTTACTTAGTAATTGGTCTGTTCAAATTTTCTTTTTCTTCCTGGTTCTGTCTTAGGGATTGTATGTTTCTAGGAATTTATCCATTTCTTTGCATATAATTTTTTAATCTCTTATAACTCTTTGTGGTGTCAGTTACAACTTCTCTTATTTCTGAGTTTATTTTAGTCTTCTCTTTTCTTGGTGAGTCTAGCTAACAGTTTATGAATTTTATCTTTTCAAAGAACCTGTTCTTTGTGTCACTGATCTTTTGTATTTTTTTTGTCTAAATTTTATTTATTTCCACTGTGATCTTTATTATTTCCTTCTTTCTACTAACTTTGGGCTTTTTCTTCTAGTTCCTGTAGGTGTAGTGTTAGATTGAAATTTTTGTTTGTTTCTTGAAGTAGGCCTGTAAGACTACAAATGTCCCTCTTAGAACATTTTCTAATGCTTTTTCCTGCATCTGAAAGCTCTGAACCATTATATTTCTATTTTCATTATTTTCCAAGTATGTTTTGATTTCCTTTTTGATGATCCCTGGTTTCTTAGTAGCATGTTGTTTAGCATCCATGTGTTTTGGTTGGGAAAAAATGCTTATGATTTCAATATCCTTAAATTTATTGAGACTTTTTGTGGGCTGACATGTGATCTATCCTGGAGAATATTCCATGTGCATTGAAAAGTATGTATTCTGCTGTTTTGGATGCAATGTGTTGTATATATCTATTAAGTCTATTTGGTCTAATGTGTCACTCAAAGCCATTGTTTCTTTGTTGATATTCTGTTACTGTTAGTCTATCCTATTGATGTAAGTGGGATGTTGAAGTCCCCTATTCTCTTTATGTTGACTAATATTTGCTCTCTCTCTATAAGTAATTCTCTGTTGGGTGCATAGATATTTCCAGTTGCTATATGTTCTTGATGAACTGAACCCTTAATCATTACATAATATTCTCCTTTTTCTTGTTGGGTCTTTGTTTTAAAGTGTACTTTCTATGATGTAAGTACTTCTACTCCAGCCTTTTTGTTTTTTGTTATTTGCATGGAATTCAGTTTCAGTCTGTATGTGTCATTAGGTCTGAATTGAATCTCTTAGAGGCAGCACGTAAATGGGTTGTGTTTTTTTCCCCCATCCATTTGGTCACCTTATGTGTTTTGATTGGAACATTTGGTTTATTTACATTTTTAGGGTACTTAGAGACAGGTATGTACTAATTGCCATTTGTTGAATGTTTTCTGGTTGTTTTAATCATTCTTTGATCCTTTCTTCCTCTTTCTCTCTTCCCTTGTACATGATGATTTTCTTTAGAGTTATGGTTGGATTCCTTTGTTTTATGATTATCACAAGTTTATGGTTTGTGGTTACCATGGGTTAATATACAGTGTTATGTATATAGCGGTGTATGTTGAGCGTCACTTAAGTTCAAATACATTTCATTCTTCACTCCCTGTCTTGCATATTTCACGTAGGGGTTCCTTTAACTAATTTTTAGAAGTGGTTGATTTTGCTACTTTTATCTTTTAACCTACCTACTACCTTTTTAAGTGCTTTATATACTACTTTTACTATATGTTTGATTTTGTCACTGAATGCTGTCTTTTTATATTTTTCTTCTAGCTATGGCCTTTTTTCCTCTTAAGTCTTGCTTAATGGTGGTGAATTCTTTTAACTTGTGTTTATGTGGGAAGTTCTTCATCTCTCCTTCCATTCTGAGTGGAAGAGTACTCCTGATTGTAGGTTTCTTTCCTTTCAGCACTTTGAATATAATATATCATGCTGCTCCCTTTGGCCTTTAAGAGTTCCTGCTGAAAAATCAGGTGATAGCCTTATGGGGTTTTCCATGTAGGTAACTTTTTTTTTTCTTCCCTGCATTTAAGAATCTCTATGTTTGATCTTGGACATTTTAATTAGTATATGTCTTGGTGTGGACCTTCTTAGGTTCACCCTCTTTAGCTTCTTCTGTGCTTCCCAGACCTGGATGTCTGTTTCCTTTCCCCATTTAGAAATGTTTTCAACTATTATTTCTTCAAACAAGCTTTCCACCCCTTTCACTTACTCTTCTTCTCAGACTCTGGTAATGTGAATGTTAGATTTCCCAGAGATCCCTCATTTCTTTTTCTTTTTCTTTTTTCTGCTGTTCAACTTGACAGCTTTCCATTACCCTATCTTCCAGATGGCCAATCTGTTTTTCTGTGTCTTCTAATCTGTTATTGATTCCCTCTAGTGTATTTTTCATTTTATTTATAGCATCCTTCTCTCTGATGGGTTCTTTTTTATATTCGCTATTGATTTTCTCACTGAGTTCATCCATTCCTAAGTCTGGTGAGCATTTTTATAACTGTTACCCTAAACTCTTTAATGGGAAGATTGCATTTGGTTCTTTTTCTCAAGTTTTGTCACATTCTTTTGCTCTGAACATCTTCCTATGTCTTCTCATTGTGTGTGACTTTCTCTGGTTGTTTCTTTAAGTTAGGGGAAAGGGCTACCTCTCCCAATCTTGAACATGTGGCCTTGGTAGGAATGTTTCCTAGATAGATGGCATGTATTGGTTGTTTTGGGCTGAGGTGTCCTGGTGCTTTGGTCCCAGGGCATGGGCTGGAGATTTTCCAAGTGGGCACCAGATGGGGCCACACAAACAGGCACCCAGGGATGAAAGGGTATGGGTGGGGTGAGTTCATGTGACCATTGTGCTAGCGTCTCATTGGTAGGGCTGCTGTCTCTCTGACAGGCATGTTCAGGTGTGGGCAAGGGCCAGGAGTAGTCTCTGTCTTGTCTGGAGCTGGTGTGTGCACAGTGATCCTATTCCTACATGCACTGTTGATGTTGGAGAACATAAATGTTGTTGCTCACCCTGCAGCTATCTGCATTAACAGTGTGCAAGGGGAGGGTAAACAGTGGGAGTTATCAGAACCCCTGGCCCTAGAGAGAGTTCCTACACTTGGCGTGCTCTTTGGTGGGTGTTTAGTTTTGAAAATTGGCTTCCTTCACTAATAATGTAGCTGAACCCTTAAACCTTGGTGTTTTTCTTGTGCTGTAGGGCAGGTGAATCTGGGCTGCATTTGGGTGGGGCTCCCTCTATTACTGTGTCTCTGTGCCTCCTGCCATTTTTTATGTGATCTTTTTATTCCTCATTGTTCAAACAGTGTTTCCTAAGGTCTCAGCTCTTCCTCAGAATGATTTTTTCTGTGTGTAGTTGTAAATTCAGTGTGTGAGTGGGAGGAGTATTCAGGCTCTTTCTGTGTGCTATCTTGGACCCACCTCTGTGTTTTGATCCATTTTAAAATAGAATGTTACATTTACCTGTATTCACCAAAGGTTTCATCTTTTACGGACTGAACTTCTGGATCTGGATGCAGATCTTCCTTTTCTTTCACTAAAAAAATAGAGGGGGAAGTAATTATTGAAGACATATTAGCAGTGCTGTTGAATGTGGATAATCAGAACAGCATTGCTCAAAGTTTTTTGATACTAGTGAGTCAAGTTTTTTTGTGGTTTTATCTGCAGCCCATCGGTTACCTGTTTGCTTAACAGAATGTTGAGGATCTTTGACTACTGAGCACCCAATGGGCAGCGAGTCTTACTGGAAGAGTCAAACTTGGTCTCTTAAGAGCTAATTACTAAACATATATGTTACTATTCTAAACTTTTTGAAGATGTCACAGGTTCATATCAGATCTTTGTCATTAAATGAAATAGAGTAAAAGAGTCAATCATTTGGTTATTATTTTCTCTGTTAGTCAAAATTGCCTCAGTAATCAGAATATTTAGATCTATAATTAAATTAATTAATTCTAAATAGTGGAATACAGGACAAGGAAGCTCTTGTGTCAGTTTACTAGGACAACTCAAACCAAAACCATCTTTCTGACACCTTTAACAACTACTTGCATAGACCTAGGATATTTTCTGAGTTGTCCTACAATGTGAAATGCTTTTTCTCTTTTCCTTTTAAGGTATCATTTAATGAAGCTTCTTCTGAATTTTGTGCATACAAAAAGGGAATGCTATATAGCTCTTCAAAGTTTCCAACTCATTACCTAAAACATTCATTAGTCATTGAAAATTCAATGTAGAATAATTCAGTCTTCACTGGAAAAATAAGATGCATAGTTACATAAATTTTCCATGTAATTTTACAAAAAATTAGAAATTATGCTCATTTTTGATTGCTCAAAATACATAATAGGCTCCCAACAAATAGTGCTGGATGAATAATAGGCCAATAGAGAACTTCTTACTAATCAAACTAATAGTGGGATCTAAATCTTTTCCCATATATAAAAGCATCATGAACACTAAGGGGAAAAAACCCAAACACAGCACAGTATGTATATCTGAAAAAGATAAATGGAGAAGCTGAATAAAATTAAAGCCAACCATTGTATTAACTAGGATGGCTTTTATTTATATTGCATGTAGCATTAATTCTGGAGGCACTATAGCCAATATAGGTCATGGTGATAAAAAAAAAATGCATTCCCAGCCATGATTAAGTCTAACAGAGTTGACCAGTGGAGCCAGCAGTATTAGAATGTACTAGTGCAGAAAATCTCTGGGTTATGAATGCATTAAAAGGCTATAAATGGGTCCTTTCTTAAGACATTCAAATACGTATGTGACTTACTAATAAGTCTTCTCAATGTTTCTGATATGAGCTAGAAAATAGGCTCTAATGAGGCTTATAATACTTTCAAGGTTCTATTATAAGTACTAGATAGAATACAAGTCGCCACTGGAGGTAATATTCTAGACTATACATATTATCTTTGGCTGGTTACTATAGGAGTATTTTCTTCCTCTAAGGAGTACATTGTATATGTAATGTATGGATATAAATTTGACTTAAAATGTGTAACAAAAAAAAAATGTGAAGAATGGCTCCTAGAAAATACTATTTAATGAGTCATAGTAACAAAATAGCTTTACCTGAGTACTTTCCACCTTTGTTTCTCTTCACAAAGCAAATAGTTAACAATATTAGTGTGAGAAGAGCGATTGCACACATCAGTCCAATAAACCAGCCTTGAGTGGAGATGTCGTCGTATAAACCAGCGTATTCTGTTGTACAAAGAGAAATTATGTATGGAACACTAGAAACAGTCTCTGGGATTATGTCCCATTCGGGAATTATTTTAAAATATACAAAATAGCATCAATTTTATTTTTTCTTTGACTTGCCCTAGAGGGAATGTGATTTGAAGGACATTTCCCTGGGACAATACTGGCAAATCATGCATTCTTTACTTGGAAAGGGCCCGCTCAAGCAGCATCTGAGTCTCAGGGTGAAAGCCAGAGAGGGCCAGTGGCGGCAGATGGAGTCAGAGCAGCGGTAGCAGGCTGGAGCGCGAGCTGCCTGGGTTATGTGCAGCAGATTGCAATGGAGTTTGCGGCTTTCAGTTTGTTTTTCTTTTTTAGTGTATGGTATTAATGTGTTAATCAGCAGGAGATATTTTTTAGGCAGCTACTCTGGTAAAAACAATAAGAAGTTGGACGGTTGTGGAACATTTTTCATTTGATAATTTGAAAATGCTATGCCAAACATCCTTTTTTTTAAAATAGCTAATGTACTCCATGTTTTCTATCTTTAATGTAGGAAGTACATTACATTAAATCTACAAACACAGATCTGTTGTCTAAGACTGCACCAAGAATAATCTCATTTCTCACCTCTCCCTCTTGTCTCAATTACATCTTCAAAAATGCTATTGTTATCAACCCAATTCTTAGTCAATAGGCGAACTATGTGTTCAGCTCCCGGTTCAAATACCTCTACTGGGTGAGTCTTTTGAGTAAGATTTACTCCTTCTTGTATCTTCCCGATACTCTCACCTAAGAAATGTACACAGTTAAATCATGTGAATTGTAATCACTGAAAAGCAGGATATGAAAGGTAAAAAAAAAAAAAACATTGTTAGATGAATAGGAGAGTCATTTATAGCATCTATTTTTCTCTCAGGTAGTTTTTGAACTCTCAGGAGATCAAGAAAATCACTTCAAAATTGTCTTTCTCAATATACTATAACTGAGTAAATGAAATGAAAATTCATGTCCCTTTAATATGAGGTGCTTGCTGATGAAATGGTACTATAAATCTGCCTCATCATGTGAGTGGTTCAAAACCAAATACAGGTGTCAAAAAGTTATACAATGTCATTTTTTTTTAAAAGGTGGGCTTTCACAGTCCTAGCAGGACACTGAATATGGCCATTGTGGCTTATAGTTGAAAGCATATGGCATTATAATCTTAACTGTATATTACTTTTTTTGGGCCTTGGTCTTCTTCATAAATATTGATGGAATGGTGTCATAATATGATCATGTATTAAATATTGGAAACCTACAGAAATGTAAGATAAAGTACAGGTTTGTAGGTACATTTAAGTGAAAAGCACTAAGAATTTGGAAGTGTGAAAAATCAGTTCTCAAAAAAGAAACAACTGTCAACATATATTAATTGTAGAATCTCATAGTAATTAAAATATACATTTAATTTCTGATGTTCCAACAAACTAAAATATATTTGCATTTAATCTAAAGTTTTGCTAAGAACCAACTCAATATAATAAATGTAAATATTCTGAAAATAAAATACATTCCATGTTGAGAATATTAGGAGTTATGAAACTATTTTGAATAGGTATATGTCCCACATTAAAAATTTAATTATAACTTTTCACCATAGAATAGAAGTTGATTATATAGTTACTGATAACAAAAGGGCTTTATTTAAAAATGGCACCATGGGGAGAAGTAAGGCCAGTTATATTAGTTGAGCGAAGCCTTTAAGATTGAGCACCACTGAAACAGAATGCAATTAATTTGGGCTTTGAAAAACAGAAATATTAGTATAACATTAAGTAGTGCAAGCTTCTGAAAAACAGAGTAAAGCAAGTGTTTCGGTCAAGCCAATGGTACAGAAAAACAGAATATTTCTGATTAACTTCATCTTTTTCCCCATCTTAGATGGTGGGATGTGAGGCACCTCAAAATTGGAGTGACAACCAGAAAATATCCAGGAAAAAAAGGCTTATGTATCAAATCCCATTTGCTGAATATGTGACAGTTGACCTTAAAATTTGCTATCTAGGTAGAGCAAGGAGAGAAAGATACACAAAGATTGATTCAAGTTCGCACAGAAGTTATCATTTTTAGAGTGTTTAGTGATATCGGGATGTATCTCCTCAGTGGAAATGTAAAATGTATCTATTCTTTTTTCCAATATCATGCTGAAATCCAGTGGCAAAAGAGATTGTAGTTTCTTTCCTGTAAATACGGCAAGATATGCCTATAGAAGAGAAATCAGTGTCAGCTGGGGAAGGGGGTCAGGAGGTGAAAATGCAGAACCCTGAAAAAGAGCACAAACATACTAGTAAGGAACATTTCCAAATTACTGAGACATAAGACAGTGAAGAAATATGCTGGAAGACTCTCAAACACATTAGTTTTATCTTTAATGCACAGAAAAGATGTAGCATCATATATAAGATCCCATAAGCAGCATTTTCCATCTTATAAAAATAGATCATCAAATTTTCTAAACATTTCCATATTATTCTAGGATGTGTAACAACTGTAAGGGAATTTTGTGAATATCTTTTCCTACATCCTGCAAATTGGTAAGTGTGGCATTAGCGTTTCCCGTGCACATTAGGCTCTTGGTTCTGACAAAATAGCAACCTTTTCATGTCTTCTGCTTTTAACAAATATACAATATACATATTTAGATTACTACTCTTCTGACTTTTTTGTATTCGATACTTGATGCCAGTTTGAACTCTTGAGAAATGAGATCCTTTTAGTTAGTAGTAAGTGTTCAATTAACTTTAAATATAACTTCATGAGTAGGTAAATGACTTCTTCATTTTACTTGCTGTCTAATTCATCTTTGGAAATAATTTGTGGCTTCTTTGGGAGAAACTACTTAAATATGTATTTTTTATAAATGACAGTTTGATTTTCCTCATTACAATCTTCTCTTTTCTCAAACCTAAAATTTGGAAAAGCATCTAGAATAATGACTGATATGTAGTACATGATAAATAACTGAGTCTTTGTATCTCCTTTCCTGCCATTTCCTGTTTCCTCCTTCCCTTCCTCATATATCCCTGGAGGTCTGATCAACTGGAGCCCTAAACAAGGCCCTCTGACTTACTCATGTGCACATCAGTTCTTCTCATTACCTCCCTTTCTTACTCTGTCTTCTGTTAAGCTTAGCAAAAACTCCAAAATCATAATTTTAGAAATAATGTGGAAAGGGAAAAAGTAGAGTGGTTGAATTAGACAAATTGTACAAATAAAACCAAATAGATTTTTGAGCCATTTTCAAGCTAGTCATTTGTTGTCATCAATCAGCAGATAGTAAAATCAATATATAAATTTATCTATACATACAAATCAAGACATGGAAGTGACATGTATTGTATCAGTGTTACAAAATGTCTACCAGGGCAAAAGGCAAATAGTTTTTCATATGGAAACATTTCCAAAATAAAAATACCCCTCAACGAACCTTATGAATAATTCCATGACCTTATGTCCCCCTATTTTAATTAACTAAAATTATAGTCCCTGACCTTATATACACTAAGGCTATAGTCTGACCGCTATTGTGTAGAAATCCACAGTTTGAATCAATGTGAACTTAAGACAGGATAAAAACATTTTGCATCTATGTCAGTGGAAAGAAAAGGCCAGGCAGACTGAGATCACAACCATTTCTAATTCACAATGACTACACGGTACATTCCCTTCAGAGCAGTTTGAGAAATGGCATGCAGAAACTTCCTGTACTTACTCCCATCTCCTAATGTGGCACTTTCCTCAGTGATTGGCTTTCCACAGCCCTTTGAAGTGCAAGCCCTCAAGTAGAATTTGTACTTGGTAGTTGCATTGAGGTTTGAGAGACTCCAGCTGGGCTTTGATGGAGTTGTAATGTTGATATCATTTAGTTCTCCAATTTCATAGGTGTCATTTACTAAAGAAATAAACATGAACAACACCACTTCACATTTCATAGTCTTAACAGTTCAAATTCCCTTATTCCTTATTTTTGCTTTCATTTATCCTTATGGTATGCAAGGCACTTTCTTAACGATTCATAATCACCTCACTCAATTCTATGAGGTAGATAGAACCACTGTGGCTATAACATCCACGGGAAAGTGGAGGTCTAGCAAGACTAGACACCTTGCCCAGCCCTAAAGCCAATAACTGGCACACTGTGCATTGCATCTATACCATACCCTTTTGACTACAGAAACCTATGTTCTTTATCACTGTGCTATACGTACTACAGCCAGTAACTCCACCTTCATCATACCAATTAAAAGGTATATATCCTTGACCATTTTTAAACTCCTAAATTTTAGGGGAATATTTCTGACGATTTCTTTGTGTCTTCTGTGCTACTGGTTTAATGTGTGGCACCAAATAAGTACTCATTATATGTAAAATCAAACTGATTAATAAATAACATTAAAAAATATATGCTGTAAAGTGCTAAATGGGAAAGGATGAATTAGGTAGGATCTCTTGAAGAATTCGCACCCCAGAAAGATTCGTGTAAGAACACAACGTACTCTAAAATTGCTGTAAGAATAGTCCGAGAGGTGAAATACCTTCAAGACCACGTAGCCATTAGTGGCAAGAGAAGGAGTGGATAAATCCTTTTGACTCTCAATCCAAGACACCATACAGGTAAAGAAATAAATCATTTACATACAACTAGATCCAAACACTGGAAAGAAGAAACTAAAATCGTAACTGTCTATAGATTGAGAATATTCCTATGCAATACCACAAATTCAATAGAAAAACTACCATAATCAGTGTAAAAATTCAGGGAACTCTAGATAGAACTCTCATATACCCTATCAGCAACTTCTTAGAGAAAATATAAAACTAAAAATATTTCAATCACTTAATAGAGAACAAAGTATACAGTTCTATCTTATTAAAAACTCACATATCAAGCAGTAAAATAGTCACTGCAATTTTTAATATTTAAGCTTTTTCTCTCTATAATCTAACTTGTTTTAAAAGTATATACAAATCTTATAAAGAAATCAACATGAAGGCTGGAAGTTAATTAATGTTGAGTTTCTTTATTGTTAGGCTAAAGGTAAGGCAATGTCTTGACCAAACTAATTGACACTTAAAAAGTCTTTAAATATTTCTTCAGTGGTTTCTACATGTTTCAAAACCAGTTCATGGAAGACTGTATGTAGGCTTAAGAGCTCAGCATTTAGACTAAAAGACTGATCTGGGTTTGAATCATTGTTTAACCCATATTTTCCTGAATGATGCTAGGTATCTGAACTCAATGTGCCTCAATTTTCTGGTTCACAAAATAGTGATAATAAAAATAACTCATAGATTTCCTACTTTAATGAAAAAATGCAGAGAGAGTGCTTAGTACTGATTATGCTACATAGCAAACACTCAAAAATGCTAAAAAGCTACTTTTATTGAAATCATGCCTCTACCTAGATAATTCTATGTGCCCATCTGAGAACAGGCCATCAAAAACTAAAGTTAGTACCTGACCTGGAATACTGAACCAACTGAAGGCAGAGAAGCCCTTCAGGACTTTGTGGTGTACTTGAAGTCTAAAATTTCCCATGGTCTCTGTCCCCTAATTCCCATTTTGAGATGATGCTTCAATTTGAAAACTGTTAGAGATGGGAGGTGCTGTGATTAAAAATGACCTGATTTCATCTAAACATGAGCTTTTTTTCAACCTCATGGAATGGCAGTGTAGGGGCAGAGCCTATTCTGAGTAATGGCCCAGAGACAACTCTAGTCTCTCAGGGTCACCTGCCTGTGCCAGGGGGCTACCGATTGGGGATTATACAAACAAACAGAAGTATATTTAGGGTAGAGACTGACACATCTCAGAGACAGAAGATGCAGTGTATGTACTGTGGAAGTTACATGCACTTTGATTTTCTATTATATCACTTACTCTTTTCTTTGGTGTGTTTAATTCTCAAGGCCCCTTATATATGAGTAGTAAACACTTTTTCTGGTACCCACTGACATACTGCTTTCCTTCTAAAACAGGAATTGGCAAACCTTTCTTAAAATAACTAGATTGTAAATATTTTAGCCTCTGTGGACCATGTAATCTCTGACAGAGCTCTTCAACTTGGCCACTGTAGTGAGAAAGCAGCTACAGACAAAGGTAAATGAGTGGACATAGCTGTTCCAATAAAACTTTCTTTATAAAAACAGGCAGCAGGCTGAAATTTGTCTGCAAGCCAGTATACAGACTTGTATGCTATAAGGAAGTGCGCTAGCCTACAAATCATGATCATCAGATTCTTAGCACAGCAAACCAAATAGTTTAACAGGAGAATCCGATTCATATTTCTACTTACTTATCTGGTACTGTAATAGATAGCCAGTTAAGTTTCCATTCAATTTCTTAGGGAGTCCCCATGATAAGGTAGCAGTGTCTTTATTAACTTTAATGACCTTGAGAAAAGTTGGCTGGTCAGGTACTAGAAAACACAAGAGCAAAAACAGACATTCATAAGTAGGGAAATTTCTTTAAAAAACATTAAACCCCATTAGATTACAGGTTTTCATAGAATTTGAGTAGTTAACTCATATGAAGTACATAATAATTAAATAGTAACAAGGAAGGAAATGTTTGATTTGGCCATTGGATAATTCCACTGTCGGTGTAATCCTACACTGTTTTTTTCTTACCTCCTTCTGGTGTTTGAAATATATAAGGCTCACTTTCTGGACCAGCTCCTTTAGAATTGTAGGCTAAGACTGTTAAGTGAAATTCACTAAAGGCATCGAGGGAAGGAACCATTCCATAGTTTCTTTGTCCTGAAAATCTCAGAATGTTTACTTCTTTGGGATGTGTTCTTCCATCCAACAGACTTTTTGTTTTCCACCAACTTATCTGCAATGAGAATAGGAGTCCTTTAACATGTCGGCCATGTTATCAGAGTCTCTTTTGGCTTCTTCTGAAGTCAGTTCTTACTTGTAGGAGAGATATTAATTCAACAATGATAAGGATAAAATCTGTGATAAAAACCTGATATCCTTTCAGATGTCCATGTACTCTGTCCTTTGGAATTGTTGACCAGGAAACTTTAACTAATGTGCTGTTGATAACGTCCACTCCATGGATCACTGGAGCTGTATCAGGATCTGTTAGGTACATAAGAATAATTAGCTTGAATAATTTCTAAATGTGATCATTATCCTTTTCAAAAGGTGGTTTTCTTCCTATTGTTTAATCTGAGGAAAGGACCTTTGTGAAATCAATTATTCGTGTAAGAACACAACGTACTCTAAAATTGCTGTAAGAATAGTCCGAGAGGTGAAATACCTTCAAGACCACGTAGCCATTAGTGGCAAGAGAAGGAGTGGATAAATCCTTTTGACTCTCAATCCAAGACACCATACAGGTAAAGAAATATATCATTTACATACAACTAGATCCAAACACTGGAAAGAAGAAACTAAAATCGTAACTGTCTATAGATTGAGAATATTCCTATGCAATACCACAAATTCAATAGAAAAACTACCATAATCAGTGTAAAAATTCAGGGAACTCTAGATAGAACTCTCATATACCCTATCAGCAACTTCTTAGAGAAAATATAAAACTAAAAATATTTCAATCACTTAATAGAGAACAAAGTATACAGTTCTATCTTATTAAAAACTCACATATCAAGCAGTAAAATAGTCACTGCAATTTTTAATATTTAAGCTTTTTCTCTCTATAATCTAACTTGTTTTAAAAGTATATACAAATCTTATAAAGAAATCAACATGAAGGCTGGAAGTTAATTAATGTTGAGTTTCTTTATTGTTAGGCTAAAGGTAAGGCAATGTCTTGACCAAACTAATTGACACTTAAAAAGTCTTTAAATATTTCTTCAGTGGTTTCTACATGTTTCAAAACCAGTTCATGGAAGACTGTATGTAGGCTTAAGAGCTCAGCATTTAGACTAAAAGACTGATCTGGGTTTGAATCATTGTTTAACCCATATTTTCCTGAATGATGCTAGGTATCTGAACTCAATGTGCCTCAATTTTCTGGTTCACAAAATAGTGATAATAAAAATAACTCATAGATTTCCTACTTTAATGAAAAAATGCAGAGAGAGTGCTTAGTACTGATTATGCTACATAGCAAACACTCAAAAATGCTAAAAAGCTACTTTTATTGAAATCATGCCTCTACCTAGATAATTCTATGTGCCCATCTGAGAACAGGCCATCAAAAACTAAAGTTAGTACCTGACCTGGAATACTGAACCAACTGAAGGCAGAGAAGCCCTTCAGGACTTTGTGGTGTACTTGAAGTCTAAAATTTCCCATGGTCTCTGTCCCCTAATTCCCATTTTGAGATGATGCTTCAATTTGAAAACTGTTAGAGATGGGAGGTGCTGTGATTAAAAATGACCTGATTTCATCTAAACATGAGCTTTTTTTCAACCTCATGGAATGGCAGTGTGGGGGCAGAGCCTATTCTGAGTAATGGCCCAGAGACAACTCTAGTCTCTCAGGGTCACCTGCCTGTGCCAGGGGGCTACCGATTGGGGATTATACAAACAAACAGAAGTATATTTAGGGTAGAGACTGACACATCTCAGAGACAGAAGATGCAGTGTATGTACTGTGGAAGTTACATGCACTTTGATTTTCTATTATATCACTTACTCTTTTCTTTGGTGTGTTTAATTCTCAAGGCCCCTTATATATGAGTAGTAAACACTTTTTCTGGTACCCACTGACATACTGCTTTCCTTCTAAAACAGGAATTGGCAAACCTTTCTAAAAATAACTAGATTGTAAATATTTTAGCCTCTGTGGACCATGTAATCTCTGACAGAGCTCTTCAACTTGGCCACTGTAGTGAGAAAGCAGCTACAGACAAAGGTAAATGAGTGGACATAGCTGTTCCAATAAAACTTTCTTTATAAAAACAGGCAGCAGGCTGAAATTTGTCTGCAAGCCAGTATACAGACCTGTATGCTATAAGGAAGTGCGCTAGCCTACAAATCATGATCGTCAGATTCTTAGCACAGCAAACCAAATAGTTTAACAGGAGAATCCGATTCATATTTCTACTTACTTATCTGGTACTGTAATAGATAGCCAGTTAAGTTTCCATTCAATTTCTTAGGGAGTCCCCATGATAAGGTAGCAGTGTCTTTATTAACTTTAATGACCTTGAGAAAAGTTGGCTGGTCAGGTACTAGAAAACACAAGAGCAAAAACAGACATTCATAAGTAGGGAAATTTCTTTAAAAAACATTAAACCCCATTAGATTACAGGTTTTCATAGAATTTGAGTAGTTAACTCATATGAAGTACATAATAATTAAATAGTAACAAGGAAGGAAATGTTTGATTTGGCCATTGGATAATTCCACTGTCGGTGTAATCCTACACTGTTTTTTTCTTACCTCCTTCTGGTGTTTGAAATATATAAGGCTCACTTTCTGGACCAGCTCCTTTAGAATTGTAGGCTAAGACTGTTAAGTGAAATTCACTAAAGGCATCGAGGGAAGGAACCATTCCATAGTTTCTTTGTCCTGAAAATCTCAGAATGTTTACTTCTTTGGGATGTGTTCTTCCATCCAACAGACTTTTTGTTTTCCACCAACTTATCTGCAATGAGAATAGGAGTCCTTTAACATGTCGGCCATGTTATCAGAGTCTCTTTTGGCTTCTTCTGAAGTCAGTTCTTACTTGTAGGAGAGATATTAATTCAACAATGATAAGGATAAAATCTGTGATAAAAACCTGATATCCTTTCAGATGTCCATGTACTCTGTCCTTTGGAATTGTTGACCAGGAAACTTTAACTAATGTGCTGTTGATAACGTCCACTCCATGGATCACTGGAGCTGTATCAGGATCTGTTAGGTACATAAGAATAATTAGCTTGAATAATTTCTAAATGTGATCATTATCCTTTTCAAAAGGTGGTTTTCTTCCTATTGTTTAATCTGAGGAAAGGACCTTTGTGAAATCAATTTCAAATGGAGCCAAGAGAGTTTCTCATCACAGAGCAGTTTCAGAGCCCAGCAGGAGTCCAGGAGAAGAGAACAGCCTGCACTGCAAGGAGAAATGCCACTTTCCAGAAGGATACAGTGTGGGCAGCACAACTGGAAATAGTGGGAATATTTTTATGTGCATCGTGTCTTTGGAAGCAGGTGAACTAGATAATAACAGCAGCTACATTAACTGTGCATATGCTATGCTTCAGGCACTGTTCTAAGGGTCTTACCTGGATCAGCTCATATAATTCTTAGAACGACTCTCTAAAGTGGTATTATTATCCCTGTTCTACTGAGGAGCTAAACTACAGAGGAATAAGCCAAATGAAGAGTGATAAGTGAGTATCTTAGTTTACAGATATGTGTCCTATGTAGTTTCCTTTGGGTAGAAGAATTTATTAGTAGGTGAATAAGGACGTAGTCTCTAATATTCTCAACCTTTATTCTTGAACTAAAATATTACTTTGGATACTAGAAGAACAATGAGAATAACCCATGTAGTAATGTGGAATGCAGTATCTTTCATTTTTCCAGTCTATCTGTTGCAGCTATTATGGTATAAGTATTTAATGATATATTATCAGCACCTCAGAACTGTGTATCACTGGATCTGGATCTTATCTGTGCTAGGAAAGCTCCAGACATATAACTGAGGCCAGGGGATGTCAGCAAGTGGCTGTCTGGAGGTCCTTGACAAGTAAGGGCAAGTGTAATTGGAAACTTAATGACAGTTACACTGCTTAATTGATTGTACTGAAGATTCCAGGTCTTTGATTTTCAATATAGAAATACCTTTATTGGGAAACTGTATGAAGTTAAAACTTTCTTCCTTACTACTGTATACTGATCAACTGTCCTGCAGTCAACCCCAAAGTAGAAACTACTTGATGTATTTCTTATCTCCCACAGCTAGTACACCCTTTTTGCATACAGAAGTTGTTCAAAAATGTTCATGGACAGAAACACAATATACTTGAGCAAGACTGCCCTTGACAGGCTTGGGAGTCTGGGAGCATTACTTACAGTCTTCTCCGGAATAGAGAATCACTGACTGAGGCTCAGGGCCAGAGCCCAGGTGATTGATGGCTTGGACTTGGACATCGTAGGGAGCATAGACAGTAGGCGTCATCACCCGCAAGGTGTGGTTTGTGACTGTTTCTTCTTCCCACTCCACTGGGGCTCCCTGTGGCTTCCAGGTCACTCTGTACTCCAGTCCTGGTCCATTCTGCTCCATGGACTTCAAAGGCTACAACAGAAGGCAAAATTCCGTGTGATCACAGACATGTTAGACAGTGGCAAGCCACCCCAAGTGGCATCAAGAATCCTGCAATGGAATGACTGTTTCTTAGGAGATCTTAAACCCCACTCTGGTCTGGAAACAGGTTGTTCATCTGTCAGTTTAAGTCTGAAAGTTAATCCCTCATCTCCCAAGTAGTATAAAGCCTACAATTTAGGTGCCTGGATTTTGCCCTTGTGTTTAGGCCTAACTGTTCATATATCCATTTCAAAATAAATTTCACACAGAGTTTTAGCTTTTGTTTACACTTTCCTCTATATTCTTTTTCACTCCCAAAGAACTGGCAGAAATGAATAGGACATGGCCATGAATTTCATGGCTGTGAATGGGATTTTCCCATGACTTTCCCCCTTACTGTATCCATCCTTCTCTGTCTTCCTTCCCAGATGAGAGAGATTGAGTTAATTTGTATTTTTGTATAACATACATGTTTATACATTAGAATCCAGAAAATATAGCTTCTCACTATAACAATTTCCCAGTTCCTTGACCATTCTGTTCCTATTTCTTTAGGTACCCCCCGACTTTATTTGCTGTGGAGATACTTCTAGTATAGGAATGGTTATTTCTACTCCAATTTTTAATTGAATAACAATTTAAAAAATTAATTTCATAGAAATGGGAATGTACATTTAAATGAATTATTACATAGAATACATTTAAAAATGTGATTTTAGTCCTAGATTGTAAAGGTCCACTTAGAGATACAGAACTTTTGTTCTGTGTATATAAGTGATTCAATAATGTCGTATAGTGTTCCTACAGAATCTGCAATGATTCTTCACCAATCTAATTTATTAAAATACTTATTAGAAGGATTGGTTCGAATTAAGTTGAAAACATGGTTCTATATCAACAAAATAATTTCAAGTGCATGCTTATTCCAAGGCGAGTAGTTAAATTAGCTAGAAGGAAAAAGAATCAAAACAAAACAAAAACTTTGTGAGATTTTCGCAGTCATTGTTTAAATTTTGATTCCAAAGCTTCACCCCCAGGACAATTTTTTACTATCATATAGATGTACATTCACTTGGGGCTTTAGCATTGCCCAGATGAATCAGGCCACAAGCTTTTAGCTCCATACTGCAATCAGCAATTGCAGTTTCCTTCAGCCTACAGACAATAAATGTGTACAAGTAATATTATTCAATTTACACATTTGCCCTGAGGAAAATACATTCCCTGGAAATTTTTTAAATAAACTGCACCACCGTAGGTAATTCTTCTGAGAAAGAACTTTCCTAAGACTACCAGCCTTCTCCCCTCACAAAGGGATCTCTAGAAAAGAGACTGTTAACTTGGGGCCTGGGGACCTGTTGATGGAGTCTGTGTATGCTTTTCCAAGGATCTGAGAGGCCATGAAATTGTGAGGAACACTTTCTGTGTATAATTTTCTAGAGAAAGTACAAGTAATATACTACTGCTGTATTCTCAAAGAGATCTATGGACAAAGCAAGGTTATAACAACTTCTGTAAAAACTGGATAGGCTGCTGCATTCACTGCCTAGATTCCATTTTAAAGCTGGTAGATTTTCTTACAAGAAATAACAAAACCTTTGCTATGAAACAACTTGGCTGGGATCATATAACCAGGGAATTGAAGAAGTTCCTAATTCCCAAACATGAGTGGATTTGGGTTTCTGTTTAGTTGTGTGTTAGTTGTGGTGTCTTTGAGGTTAGAAATTTTCTATGTTATTGACATTCAAATTTACATAAATGCATTCTGCTTAAGAACAAAGGGAACTGGCAAGCAAAAGTCATTGTAATTATTGAACCAGGCTACAGGGCTCTTTTCTGATACTATTTTTTTAACACAATATATATATGAAAAGTGAGTTTTAGTAGATAATGCTAAAAAGACTAGTTCTATCATCAATATATTACTATTTTTAAAAATTGTGTTCATAATCTTCAGTGTGACAAGTTTATAAAGATACTTCATATACAATAGGATATGTGAATAGAAATTCATTTTTGACTGTAATACAAGGTTCGTCCATTCAATTAGTAAATGCATATTTATTAATAACTAACATATAAGGCTCTTGATCTCATTTTCATCCATAGGATTTTTCATTAAATGACATTCTTTTATATTGCTAGTGTATTTGTTTATTGTCTGTCCCTCCAAATAGATGATACATTCCAGGAGGGCAGAGACTTTATCATTTTTTACTGCCTATAAAAGCCAAAGACATCATAATACATAATTTTTAATGCTTAAGAAAACAGAACAAAAATCAGGGACATCTATTCTGTTCTTACTGCTCATCTACATTGTCAATCCTTTTTGAAATACCTTTTTGTGTGTGTGTGTGTGTGTTGTAAGTAAATTGCTTCTATCTTCTGTAGATAGGAATTTTTTTGTAAGTCTCTAAAGAGGTTCTGGTAATTCACTCACAGTGTCTGCTTATCAACTTGAGAAATATCTGGCACCTAACTCCCTTTTGCAGGATAATCCATGCAAACAATAGCCAATGAGTAAAAGTTCTTAAACTTTACTGGTCGTGCCTATAATTATTACATCTCTGACATTTAAGAAAATGAAGCTCAATGGTACATATTATGAATGCAACTGTCAATGTTGCAATGAACTACTTTCCTCTAGTTAGTTAAATTACTAAATTCCATGGCATTTACTCTTCAAAGACAAATTATAAACCCTGTCTTAGTGTAATACATGCTTGCAAGAAGAGAGCATTAATAATCAGGTGTGTGTGTATGTGTATGTTTGTGGGGGAAAAAAGAGTGTGTTGTAAGACAAGCGGTATGAAGGACTGAGGACTGCTACCCTTTTTTCATTACTGACTCAGCACATGACATCTGGTACATTCATTAAACTCAGAGTCCCAGATTCTCCATCTGAAATGTAAGGCCAACACCATCAAGCTATTGTAGCCCTCCTGGAGGGGTGGTGATAATTAATGAGCTACTGTTTGTGGAACATGGTGTTCTTCTCTGAGGAACTGACCTGATAATTATACTATTATCATCCTACCCATTATACCACCTATTTTATGGAAACTTCTGTGGAATTTAAAAGAGGATAAGACATCATATACTCTCTAAAAGAGCAAGATACAAAGCATAATTTTAGATTAATTATCAAAACAATATGATAGTAACTATTTATAGACACAAGGTCAAGGAAAGAATAATCTTATATGTTTTCTATGTATTGCCATTATTTTTCCAAATTTTACATTTGCAAAGCTTAAAATTCCTTTAATGGGAATAGTTAGTGTTGATATAACAATACTGATGGAATACTTTGCAGGTATGGGCTGTGTGATTAAAAGCAAGCCAAACTTTATACGTTCAAAAAGAAAATCTTCCAAAAATCATACCTGGAATGAGATATTGAAATAAATTCGTATATTCCAGCATACATTAAAAAATGTTCTATATTTTTATAAAATTCAATGCTTGGAAGACTGTTATTAATCAGAATGGTCGACTGGTAATATACTTCCAATAGGTTAAAATGAAATATGTCCAGATAGAAGGGGAAAAAAAAGTTCACTGTTACTGAAGAAATTTAGAAACAATGCTCTGACTGAAATCATTTGAGTCGATATAAAATTATATGCCAAATTCAAAGAGAAAGGGTTATTTAGTAACTTTTAACAGAGATGAATATAAAGGGGAAAAAGTGGGGTTTGAAATTCAAAGACCCCCTAGGTTTGTTGACTTCTAGTTTTGTAGTGATGGGAGAGAGTCAGTCATCCTGGACTTCAGTCCCTTTATTTGGAACAAGGCATCATGACGTCCTCTTGGTAAGATTGTTCTCAGAGTTCAAATGAGTTTACAAAATGCCTAATAGGGCATAACAAGTGGTGGCTATTGGGAGTTGTCCTGTTGATATGCATTATATTTATTAGAAGATATACTGAAATTTAGTGAAATATTCTCAGTGTTTTTTGAATGGGAAAGGTTCTAGAATATTAGGAATATGAAACTCTTAAATCAACCTGCATAACCTTCCTTAAGTTATTTACCACGGCTAAATTCTTATTTCACAATATTCTAACCAGAATGATCTTAAATCTTCTATTTATGTGCTGAAAAATATTTTTATAATCATTATGCTTAGCATTAATGATTTCTTTCTTTCTGAAAGAAAGTAATTATAACACATTAAAGAATACATACCTCCCATTTTATAATCATTTCTTTGGGTTGAGAGGCTTGAACCCTTATGTTTTGTGGATTCTTGTCTGGAGCTGAAAAATTACAAGCATTAAAATTACTTTTCCTATTATCATATCATCCCTTCTCTCTCAAAAAAGTTTTAAAAATAACTTTATTTCTATCTGGCCTAGTTAATACCAAGATTTAAAGCAGTTTTTTCCTCCAGTTTTTTGAAATATTGCTGCCATACAGCATTTTTATTTAAAGAATAAAATTGTGTACTTGGAGAGATATAATTAGTGGAGAATAGATGGTTTATTTTATGTATCTTCATTCTAAGCCTTTTAAAAATCCTACACCTACTTTTTCTATTAGAGTTATCATTGGAAATGTACATTGTGAATAAATTAATATCAACATCCAAGTTTTAGGGACAAGAGATAGGAAAGAGCGGGTAATGTACCCATAAAATACACTGAGATCCATTTTATTAAAAAAGGGCTAAATATGGAGTTTGATGCCAAGGTCAGCTTATACTAAGATCACACCAGTATCTCATGCAGTTACCACCTCTCCTTGCCTCTTCTCAATCCCAGAGGGACGCCTGCCCTAGCATATTTGATCTGGGCTGGGGGGAATAATACCACGCTACGGCCAATGCCAGTTCAGTAACACAAATTTTTTAGTACTACCAAACACTACTTTGGGAATTTAGATATTTTAGAAAAAGTCACTAAATTCATAACATTAATGTCATTAGATACAATGAAAATTTAACAAGGTGTGCCTATAATGAGTCAAAAGTTTTATTTCAGCAAGTTGAAAGAAAGAAAAAAAAACGGAGGAAGTTGACTTTTTCTCTATTTCAGAGTTCAGTTTGGAACCTTGATATCTGGGTTTTAACATAGTTATCAAAAATTAGTGTAATTCCCTGCTCTCTACCAAACATTTACATACTCCTCATGAGACAGATGTACTCTGAACATTTTTGTTACTTAGATGTTCAAAGATGGAGCAAAACTAAAACATGTTAGCGGTCTGAGGGGTGAAGCCTGCCTACCTGCCGGCGGCGTTTCATGGTGGTCCGATGGCCGGCTGGGGTGGCTTCTCCCTACCTCGTTCACAGCGAGGACCCTGAACTGGTACCTCACGTACGGGGCCAAAGATAGCATGGCTGTTGTCTCCTTTCCTTGGACTCTGGTCAGTTCCTCCCACCGTCCGGGTTCTTCTTTGTTTCCTTCAAATTCTACAATATACTCTGGCCATAGGAAAACATGAGGATGGATTAAGTGTGTTTAAGTTATACCAAGATTTATGCACAACATTAAAATTTCTAAAGAATGTTTTAAAGAAGGATAATCTACCAACTGTGGTTTAAAAAAGAAAAGAAAAGGCTTTGATAGTAATTCTGACTGTGAGTATAAGTAACATCATCCCAAGCCGTCCCTACCGCTGACATTGCTGTTGTGGTCATCTCCCGCTTCCCACGTCAGCCGGACGCTCCTGTTCTGCCTGTCGGACAAGTGAAGGTTCTCTGGTGGATCTGGAACATCTAATTAATGATAACACAAAGGTAAGGAGAACGCGGATCACCGCCTTTGTTTTCTGATGTCCTCACTCAGGCACACCTGTTGGCCCCCTTCTTCTCCAGGCTCACGTGTCCACCCTCAGTTGCACACATCTCTCCAACACTTCTGGTTCTATCGCAAATACAGTTTTCTTCACATCTATTCCCTGTTCTAAGGATTCTCTCCCTCTACTCTGATTCCATGGGTATCAGAATACTTTCAGGAGTTGTTAACAGTGAACTTTTCTGGGCCCTATCTCTCCAGAAATCTGTATTTCTACCTAAAAGCCCTGGGTCATGAGTATGCACACTCAGTTTTTAGAAACATAATCTGTCTTGAGTAGATTAGTATCTCCCACCTCAGATACTTATATGCATGATTCACTGCCTGTACATGGCTATACAGATCTTCAAGGGTAGGGGCCATCTTTTATTACTTTTTGGATCACTCCTAAAGCCTTGCATATGTGTTTTTCACTTACTCATTTAGTCACAAAATATTTATCACATCAATTATGCATATAAGTATTATATGGTAGTCATCTAATTAGGTCCTGTGACTACAGGAAAATAAGATAGAGAACATGAACTCAGGCTTTTTTTTCTGCATGCTTTGGATTTTTATTGTAATTAATATATTATAATTAATGTATTGTTCATACTCTCTTAGTCTGGAGTTCTGAAACAGAGTAGGGAAGGCAGTTTATATTGGAAGAAGAAGATTTATTGCTGATAAATGTGACAGAAACTAGAAAAGAGAGCGTTAAAGTAAGTGAAAACTGGTACTTTTAAATAATGATCCTCATTTCCAAAATTTGGCTTCAATTCCCTCCTGAATCAAGGGCACTTATCTTTTCTCAAAGGAGGCAATAAGGTAATATCTAATAAAGTCCTTCCCATGGGCTCTTCTCCAAATGGGAAGCAACATCTATCGCCCCTGCTGACTATTTGCCAATTCCTCAGAATTTGTCCATTGTTTTTAACTCAAAAGAGAACATTTTATGTCCAAAACATGATTGGGTACTGCATAAATAAGAAAGTTCTTTATGAACAGTGTTCAGAGTATTTCTCTTCAACACTTACTAAGAACCAACTCATTTCTGAAATTTTCTGAAGCAACCTACTTAGCCTATTGCAACTGATATAAAATCTGCTCTGGGAACCATGTGGACCTAGAATTCATGCATTGCTGTGGAGACTTAAAGGGATGACACTCTTATGTGAAGGAAAGTAACATAACTAAAATGATCCAAGCGTGTTCTTAAAAACTGTTTTCTGGGAAGAAGAGCTTTATAGTGACTATTTGGGCATCTATTATTTGTTGCTGTCAGTTACTGGAGTATGCTTCTTAAAACCAGGGACTGGCCTAAAAAATTAGGCTACAGTTTTCTTAACTACTTCTTGGGAGTTTACAGTCTACCTCATTGAATATTTAAGAAAAAAATTATTTGTATTCTGAAAGATGGGTAAAAAAAATCATAGATAAACAATGCACATACTCATGGCCACTACTTAGTTAAAATTCTCAACATTTACAAATTCTAGAAGAGGCAGCCTGAAACAATACATCTTATAAGGAAATATGGACACTGTGCAACCAAGTGGTGTGGCGCCCCTGCCCTCACTGGCTCCGTTGCTCAGAATACTTAGGGGCAAAGGCTGTGGTGCCTGAGACTTAACCTCTGCACTTTGGTGCCTGGGATAGACTACAGTTTACCCACAGCTTCACTATTTTTCCTGGTGAATTACTAGTGGAATAATTAATAGCGGATTAAACCTTTCTGCTTGTTTCTATGGCCAAATATCTCAAAGGTTTACTTTTATTGAACCAAGTTCGTACCTTCTACTACCTCAGAACTGCTCTGTTGTTTTGGGTTTTTTTTAGTAGAACCCAATCTGGTGGCCATTTGCTTCCCTTGAACAGATCAATCCTGTTTACTCACTTCACCAGCCTACTTTGAGAGACTGAATTTTTCCTCTCAGTTTATACCCTCTGTTAACAATACTCTCTGATGGGATTCTAGTAAAGAGTCTCCCTGGGCAGGCGAACCAGTGAGGCTTTGGCAGTGGGGTGTAGCCTGCAGGGAGGGAGGGTGTACAGGGAATAAACCCACCCACCCTCTTCTGTTGCTAGGGCTCCAGATGGGCTGAACCAAATTCAGCTTGAAGGGTATATAAGTGGTCTGTTGACATTGCCCATGCAGGTCAAGTTTCCAGACCAGAGAGCTGGTGGAAAGTGCATCTGGGAAGGAAACCGGAAGACACCCAGCAGATGCTCTCAGAGCTTTAAACACGGGTGACTGCATGGGCCACAGCATTGATTACACTAGTGAGGTAAGCACATTGTTTTCTAACTAGCATTATCATTTAAAAAAGAAAATCAAAGGCATTTCTTGGCAGAACCCTTCAAGCTCAGTCTGTTCCTCTGATTTTGAGCACGCCCCTCTCCGCATCCCTCCATGCCTCAGCCCTGTTTCTCTGCATGTGGGGAAAGGCAGCTCAGGAGCCCCGAGAACTGAAGCATGCTTCAGATTTCTGTTAGCACTGCCTACCTCCTATTGCTACTGGCAACATTATCCATGTAGGGAAAAGAAATTAAGCATTAATTAATTTCTTTAAAGCCTGAAGAGAAGAAAGCATTTGAAATGAGGTTACTATTTAAATGAAAAACTTAAATGAACTATATATATATATATGCAGGGGCTCAAATTATTATTGGTTTAATTGCCTAAAAAAACAACAGAATTTAATCAGTAATGGAGAGGAAATGAATAGAGATTTCTCATTAGTGCACTTACCCAGGACAGTTACTTGAGTTGTATCCGTGACACTATCTAGAGTGGTTTGTGCTGAACAGGAGTAAATACCTTGGTCCTCTAAGGTGACATTAGATATAGTCAGATTAGCTCCATCAGTAATTATCCTACCGGGGAAAAAAAGTGAGTATATGATGAGGATGAAAATAATAGAAACATAATCCTTTCAAATCTCTGTATTGCCTATAGGAACAAATTTTAAGAATTAAAAAAAACTTCACATAATGTACCTACATAGGACCAACCAGGCTGTTTCTTAAAATGGCAGATTCCTGAATCACACCCCAGTTCTACAGAGTCAGAATGTGCTACAGTCTGATTATCTCTAATTTTGACAAGTTTCCCTTTGCTCCACCCCTTCCACCTCCCAAGCAGAATGCCCCTTTTGACAATGATCAAATTTTGCAATTTATTTGAACAGTAGATGGCAGACCAGTACTTCTTTCTGCAAATCAGTTGCAACTAGCTTTTCATCATTCGTTCTGTTTTTGCCAATTTGTAATTCATATCTAAATGATTTTTTATAAAGTATACCTCTGCCCTATACTTATGCAAAGTAACTTAAATATTCTTAAAACATCTGAACTATACTCACAGCAGTTTGTTGAAAGAAATAATGTCCTTGAAATGAGGGAAGGAAACTCATATAAATGGCTAACAAGTTTGAATTACAGAAAACCACTTCAAATGGTAGTAAAATCAAACGTGGTTCCCCTTTTGGCCAGTTGATACCACCGTGTGTTGCTGATCAGTAATGTCACTGTAATTGTAAACATGATAAAGCTTTGACATAAATTATCTGATCATATTAGCTATATGTCCATTTGGTACAGATGATTTATGAAAAGTACCTTCTTAGGTGAAGGAATGCAATTTAATGACCTCTTTAAATAGGCGTGTGCTTTGTATAAAGCTGCTCACCCACGGGGGCCCCTAGGGTCGTCTTGCCAATATTCGTGTCCTGGCATGGGGCTCCCTTGGGCGAAAAGGGCAACTTTTTGTTAACTCTTCCCAGAGGAGCTGCCTTTTTCAGTCTCACAAATGACCCTTGATACGATTAATGCGAACTTACCAAAAATCTCATATCCTGGTCTCAGTTCAGGTTCCAAATCAGAAGTTTTGTAAAAGCCATTGCAACTGCACATGACATGTAGATAATTCTGGCACACATAAATATCTGACAGCTATTCGTGTTATCAAGGACGTGCTCTCTTGTGCTGGCACAACAAACAGCTTTAAATTCTCAGTGCCTGAGGCAATGATCATTTCTTTCTCTTGCACTCTTCCCACCATAGGTCAAGTGGATCCTACCTGAGGAAGCCCTGTCACTATCATTGTTAAGCACAGTCTAAGTTTTAAAAATGTTTTCTACTCTCAGGGAACCTATTCTCTAGCTTCACTTCACCACTGTTCCTCGCAATCTTTTCCTGTTTCTTACCTGCCGACACCATACGGACTCTCCCACCTCCATCTGCACTAGCAGGCCTGTCCCCAATCCCAGGTAACCCCTGTTGTATCTATGTAACAACCACATAATGCTGAAGGCAATATGACAGAATGATTCTCTTTTTGGAGACCTGTGTTTGAAACTCAGTTCCACCAATTGTGATTTGCAAAACCTTGACCAAAACCTTGAGCCTTACCTGATGTAAAAAACTGAAATAAGAATATTTTCTTTCTCTTCAGAAGTAAATGAGGAAAAAAACACATATAATGATTAGTATGTGGAGCCTGGCATTGTTTGGACTCAAACAATAATGTGTGACCTAGGGCCACGTGCAGTCCAGAAATCCACAGCAAACTCCTTGAGGTCATCTCAGCCTTCCTGGTAGGTTTGCTGTGAGGACTGATGGGGGAGAGTGTGTCGGGAGCACCAACATATCAGGCGTCCAGGAGGTCAATGGTCTGGAGTGCCAGTTTTCCACACCTATCTTACCCGTAGGTGACGGGATCATCAGGAGGGAAGAGAAAAGGAATTTTCACTTGTTATTTTCTGTGTACCTTTGATTTGAAATTTACCTCTTTCTAGGCTCCAAGCTCCACAATAAGAAGGCAACCCAGCAGAAGGTGAGACACAAGAGCTGACTAATGGTTTCCTGGACATTTGGTGGATACCTGTGATCTCCATGCCTGCTGTCATTCCACACCTGCTGCTGACTCCAGTGGGGACCAGCCAATCACTCTCAGCCTTCCCTGCTCTGGAGATCTAAGCTAAGTTACTGTCTTTCACCCCCCTTTCACCCCCACTCCTTGTGTAGAAAAATTGGCAGAACATCTGTGGCACTTGCTTAGTTTACTAAGACAGCCCAAAGCGCATTTGAGTGTCCCTTCAGCACCCTGCAAAACTCTCAAACTGGGCCCCAGCAAGGCTGGTTAGAGCCCCTGGGTTCAGGTCCCATCACCAACAGAGCGGGACTCATGGGTTCCCTTCTTGGCTGTAGCCCAGAGGTCAAATGGAAGGCTCTAAATAACCGAAGAGGGAGAACGGGGCGGATTCAAGCAGTTGTTAAATCAAATGAGACCTAACCTAAGGCAGAAGGTCTCTGTTTCAATGTGTAGCCTCTTCAGTGTAGATAATTAATCTCATTTATTTCAGTGACAACCGGTGGCAATATATATGCTCCTTTCCCTACATGTATAGGAATGAAGTGGAATAAATTAAGTACCAAGGCTGAGACTAGTGCCTTTGCAAAACAGTGGCACACAGCATCAAGCCGGTGACAGAAATGACACAAGCCACTTGAAGAAGTATAAATTCTAGTAGCTAAAGTGGATTGAGTACTGTTCTTTTCTAAAAGCTAAGTATGTTAGCTCATTTCCACTGTATGATGAAAGTGCTTAAAGTTTTACATCTTTAACATAGTTCAGTTAAAAACAAAGACACAAGGAAGTTAAACAGTGTGTCTGAGGTCACAGACCTGGTAAGTGACAGAGTTAGGATTCCAGCCTATGATCTTAATAATTATGACACTGCTACCATCTGGCCTAAGGACTGCATATCCTATCTGCAGACCTTTAAATTTACTTTTACGGAAAGATGAATAATAAAAGAAAACTACCAGTGAGATTTGGCTCAAGGAAACAGAGCCTTCTCTGCATGCTTTGAAAAGACAGCATAGGCATTCAGTAAAATTTTGATTCTTTCCTCTTTCTTTGATATATGTAATATTGTCTAGGGCTCTTCAGCATCTGTTTGTGCTTTCTTCTGTATATTTTTCCTATATTCTCTATAGAGAGGCAAGAAGGAGTGTAGATAGGCTTCAGGTTCTGCCAATGAGATAGACTCATGTGAGTTTGGGATGTAGAAGGGGAATGGGCACTGTCTCCTGGGGGCCCTGCGAGCAGGCAGGGAGCTGGCAGTGGTGGAACTCACTAGCAGCACCTATGGGGGGAGGTGGCCCTGAGGACAGCAGCATTTTCCAGACATCTGGATGGCAGCTGCAAAGCCATGTGACTAAGAACCCAGAGGTTCAGTAAGCAGACCCCTGAGACCCATCTCCCCCAGCCTTTCCAATTGTTCTGTGAGCACCCAAACAGTAAATATTTCACACCTACCTGGAGTGGCTTCTGTTTCATGCATGAATAAGGATGGTGCATGTTATATTAAAAAAAATAGCAAAAAACAAGAAAATAAACCAGAATATCTTATGTCACCTTTTAAATATTACCTTCAAGACTGAAATATATTAGTAAGTTTTTGTATTTTAATTCATTATGAATATATGTTTATGATTTTGTTTCAAATGCAAGGTGTTAATCCCAGCCAAGTGTCATCTCACCTGCCATCCTCTGTGCCGTTCATGGTGAAGGCTTCTCCGTTTTTACTCCAGGACAACTTCAGACTGTGTTTCAAATGGGAGTCACATTTGGTCTCACAGTGTAACTCAAGTGTATGTGACTTGGGAACACGAGGATGCTTAGGAGAAACTCGAACTTTTGTTGCATCTGTTTTAACCGAAGACACTAGTTAGAAATACAGAGCACAGCTTCATCAAATGCCTGCAATATAATCAACCACAGTTGTCAACGTAATAGTCATATCCTCACACAGTGTTTGTCACAATGTAATTTCCCAACATCACGTATCATTACTATTTTCTTTCCATCCAGGTCTGGGCATCTGACAAAATTTGGGTGGAAGTGCACTTATTAAAAGTAGCTGAGCAATTTCCCTTACTGCTTCCTGGGCAAAGGGAGTTAGGCGTGTGAGTGAGCAAATGCCTCTAGCTGTTGGAAATTATATAATTTCTCCTTCTAGAACTTCTGAACATGTAATCAAACCAATGTAAGGAAAAAGGGAAAACTAGTTTATTATTAATTCAGAGGGGGAGAATATTTACATGCTTTGAAAATATAGTCCATAGTTGTGGTATGCGGGATAACTTAGGAAAGAGATAAGTACTGTGGAAGAATGTAAGAAAAGGAAGGGGAGGGTATGTGTTTAGAGAAATATCAAGCTATCAGCAGAAACAGATAAATATGTACCCTATCATCAAAGCAGTGGTAGACTACATAATACTGACATGTCACAGGAACATATCCTACCTATTTTATATAGGATTTTTCTATACTTTGCTCAGAATTCTCTTTAGAAAAACACAATTTTAAATTCAAGACTTTGTTCTGAAAAGAGGAAAAGTACGCAAGTACAAAACCCCTTCTAATCTTTACACTGAGTTGGTAACTGAAATAAAATATAAAAATATACCAAAATAGGGCATTATAAAATGTGGCCAGGCATCCTCAGAACAGGTAGCTCCCTCTTAAAACTGCATAAAGCCATGGACATATCACTGTGATATCCTCTATCTTGTGGGGGAGGTTTAGAGGAAACACAATCTAGGAAGTTTGAAATAGTTGAAATTGTACTGTTTCATTTGGGAAAATGAATGCAAACAGCCCATGTGAGAATTCATGTCAAGTAGAAACAAAATTAAAATACCTCTAATATCCAAATTGGCTGTGACTGCAGTTTTTCCTTTAGCATTTTCTACCCAACAAGAGTATGAGCCCGCATCATTTTCTGTGGTTCTGGTGATCTGTAATGTACCGTTTTCAAGGATATGGTACCGTCTGCCTTCAAGGGGTTTCACTTCTTCTACCTTCTGCCTATGGACACAAAAAGCATAATGAGTTTTTAAGACCACTGGCTGATGTTGTTCAAGTGTCTCTCTTCTTTAGGAGCTTAGCAGACCTTATGAAATGTTCCACTGGAGTTTACATTTTTTCAAAACTGGGTCAGAAGTACATGTCTTCCTTGACAAAACAGACTGTGGCTGGAGGACACTGGGGCCCCTGCTCTGTGCTTCCGCTCTGCCTCTCAGACCTACCAGAGCAGTTCTGCATCTGTCCTCAGAGCTTAATCAATATTTTCTGGCTTATTGATGGCGACCTCTTTAGTTAAGGATTGCTTCAGGGCCCTAAATGGGAAAGCTAGTAATTGAAAGACATAATGAGCCTCCTGAAGCCCCTGGCGCCCGGGGAGAACACTGGCCATTCAGAAATATTACAGGCCAGGAAGTCTTTCCTGCCCTGTGGATGCGGATTACATTCACTCTGAGCAACCCAGAGTCATTTTCTTCTACACTCATCCATTTTCCCAGCATTTGCTGCCACAGTTTGATTTACTCTGTACATTTCACAATAAAAGGCTGCTGGGGTAAGAAAAACCCAAAGGATGAACTCCGGCTGCTTGTTCCCAGGGGATCCCACAGGGCCAGGGCCAGGCAGAGGTGAGCAGGGTCCCCTCGGAGGCAAAATTTAAGGGATGCCAAAATAGCTCAATAATCAGGATAAATAATATTTTAATGGAGTATTTTTAAAAACAAAATGTGAACAAAATACTCAAATTTTAAACAAAGACAAGATCTGACTCCGACTTGCTCACCCTACTCCAATCTCGGCTCTGTGGAACAATGGCAAAATTATTTAGTTTACTCAAGCATCTCTAGTGGAGTGACAAATGTGGTAGGTCCGTAGAGCAATGTGTTTCAACTCACTACACCAGTCAGCGTATCAAAATTAAATTCAAAAGACATGGTGCAAAAGATACCCAAACCAGCAACAGTAAAATACTACATGACCTGAGATATACCCGTAAGGAGAAACTACATCCACCTGTACAGGTGTCCTCATAACCACTTCAAGCCTTTGCTCTCCTTTGTGAGCAGAAGTGACTCTGCATATCTCTCCATGTGAGTGAATCCTGCACATCTAATGGTTCCAGGATAGGTAGATTATTAGGTTTGCTACTGAGGCACTGGCTACACGGAAGAACATGAACATGGACACAACACAGCCTGTCAGATGGTGGATGAAAGAACAAAAGCAAAACCTACGACAACATGCCCTCAGGGAAACTGGGTACAGCTTACCAGGACACCACAGCCTCGGGTGAAGCAAAGAACTGGCACTGTAAGAAAGCACTGTGCCCAACCACTGTGGCATAATTTTCTTCATCTTCAGTTTGTATCAGTGGACGAACATCTGTTTGAAAATAACATAAATACTGTTTTAACCTTTCATGTAGGAAGTAACATGCAAATTAAATGTTTTATCCTATCCATACTAATAAAAATGGAAAACTGAGTATAGTACATATTCCTAAATTAGAAAACTATTGAAATTCAATACATTTCTGAAAATATAATTTTAGTATGAAGTCTAATTAATGCCCAAATATAAGGTGAAAGGACTTTTACCCATGTTTTATGTGCTGAGAATTCAATCTATTTGTGAGTATGGCCTTAAACATTCTTAAGAAAACAGCAGGTTAAGAGTCTGCTCCCAGATGTGCTTACCTACTACATCAATATTGGCATTGGCAAGGATAGTTCCATGGACGTTCGAGGCTTCACACTGGTACACAGCAGTGTGATTCGGTTGCAGGTTGGTAAAACTGATTTCCCTGGGGGAGAAGACATCACCAGCAAATGGATCTTCTGCAAGAGATTAAAGAATGTCAGTTTGATAAAAAATAGTACATAAAATATTTATACACCATTTATTAAACGTGTCACACAGTATTTATATTTTAAGACCAGTTTAGGGTGAATAATAGCTCACTGAAGCCAATGCTTTAGAATTTCTTAACATCAACCATGGATTTTCCTTTGCGGACCCTTCTGTAATTTCAATTTTTCCTTCAAATTAATATTTATTGCTAAGTACCTGCTGATTCTAGCTCATCGCCTCTCCATACCCATATATGTGAGATCCAGTTTACCATTTAGCATTCAAGTCCCACTACGAACTGAACACTTAGTCCTGTAAATTTGGGTCTTGATACAGCCCAGCATAAATCAGTCACATGATCAACACACCTTACTCCCCCAATCTACCAATATTGGCTGCTGTTTACCCACTTGGTACTTTTGTTCTTCTGTTTCATTTCTCTGCTCTCTGCAATTTTAGGATTTATGCTATTCATTTTAATTGTCTTGCTTTGCTAGTAAACCACTTTAGATATATGTTTCATTTTCCCAGTGAAACTAAACCCTTCTTGAGAGCAGGGGCCAGGTGTTCTACTTTTTAGCAGTAAATCCTCCTCTGATCCTGATCTAGATATAATTCTGCAGATATCTTTTGGAAATGAGAAAATCTAACATTTCTAGTATGTATGACAGGCCAAAGAACTCCTGTTGGATGAGCACGTGTTAGCTCATTAACTCTGCTGCAAACCTGCTGGATAAGCAATACGGCCATTGTGGAGATAAGGGGGCTGGACTTGAGAGAAGTTGAATGATGTGACCCACAGCACCGACCACAGGCCGAATCATGTGCCCTTGCCATGACACTACAGACAAGCAGTGGAAAGGAAAACATGTCCACTAGGGATGTTGAGTGAGAGGCACAGATGTTAAAATTATGTTTAAATGACATTGTAAGATTTCCAAAAACCTAATCATCATCTTTTTATATCTCCATTATACAAAATAGTGACTAAGTTTTGGGTTATGGAAAATATCAAACACATTCAACACATTAAACTAAAAGATTTTCTTAGACTTCTTTTTCCCTCTGGGAATTGGAAGTGGATATATGTCTGCATTTGACTGTGAGCTCCATGGGGGACAGGAAAATAAACAGAAAATATTTTTAGCAGAGCTTTTAAGGAGGCTCAGAGGTCCTGGATGCAAAGCATCTGAAAAAGTTTAGGTCTGTGATCAATAGTAATAATTTTGATATAGTTTTGGAATAGTGTAAAGGATGTGTAATTGATAGAACTGTAAGCACAAAGAGATTTCATATCCTTTAATCAGCCCACTGTCGTCAACCGTGCCAACCTATAAATGGTTGTGACCCATTTGCAGGGAAGCAGGGAGACCTGTGGTCCACAGCTGTGACAATACTGAGCTTAAGATTGCAAAAATGTAGCTTCGGTTCTAGGTCTGCCATTATTCAGCTGTGCTATCTTGCATAAGTTTATTTTCAGCCTTGATTTTCTCATCCATCAACAAACCTGTTTGCTCTACTCTAGGAATAAATCCAGGACCTACCCATTACTACTGCCAGCCTGGCTCTAGGTCCCACCATCTCTCAGGCAGTTCCAAACTGGAGAAGTCACACAGTTGATTCTCCAAGAAGAGACTAGAAAAAATCTTTGTGAATAAGTTAGATCATGTCATTCTTCTGGTCAAATTCCTCTAAGAGCTGCCCATCTTATTCATAATAAAATCCCAAGTCGATACTTGGCCTTTCCCCTTTATGTATGACGTGGCCCCTACACCTCCTGGCTGGTCTCATCTCCTAGCTCTGCGCCCTAGTCACTCACCTGATTTCAGCCACACAGGTCTCCCCGCTTTCCGTCTACCTTGGATGGAGTCTTTTTACTCACGAAATCTCTGAACCCTAAAACTCGTTCACAGATATTTGTGTGGCCTCCCCAACCTCTTTTAGGCCTTTGCTCAAAAGGATATTATCATAGGGGTCCTTGTCTTAATATTGTTTTTTTTTAAAAAAGAGCAACACCAGATCCTGAAATTCTGTTACCCCCCACTCCTTACCCAGCTGTTTGCCTGCCGAATGTCTCCCCACTAGAAAGTCAGATCTATGAGAGAAGGGACTGTCCATTCATTCACTGCTCTTTCCCAAGGAATCGGACCAGTGTGAGAAGGCCTTCTCATATTACTGAGAGGATCAGTCTGTTAGGTGTGAATAATCATACCTCTAAAAAGGTTCATCTGGGGAATCAAAGGGATAATTGAATGTCCTCCCTACACAGTCAAGTGCCATTCAAACAAAGTTTTATGATTTTATATTCCAGGGAATCTGCATTCCTATTTCAGAAGCCTTGACATTCTGTATATGCAAAAATTGTTTTCAGTTTCCTGCCATCTCACTTTTCATTTATGCTGTTCTCTAAAGACATGAAGAAAGTTTCAAATGTGAGGCTACTTATAATGAGGGCTAAGGTTTCCTGAATGCTTGCTATGGGAAAACAATAATAGTAAACACTTCAGGAGCGTCCCTGTGCAAAACATTCTATGCATGGTGTTGCTTTGAATCCATGTAACAACCCATGAGTCAGCGCTATTGTCATTCTCATTTTACAATGAGGAAACAGACTTAAAGAGGGTCAGAAATGTGCCAGATCACACAGCTAGTCAATGGTAGAGCCTAGATGCAAACATAGGCAGTCTGGCCCTGAGTTTACAAACTACCGCAGTGTTCTACAGGTAAGCCATATTTATCTCATTCAATCACAACCAACTACCCTTTGTTCCATGTTGCAGTTAAAAAACTAAAGCTTGGGAGACCTGTAAACAGCTCACGATCATACAGCTAGGAAGCTACACAGCCAAATGGGAGCCCACTGTGGCTCCCAGTGATACCTAAGACATAAGTGGGTTTGGGGTAAAAATACATTATGGAAGCAATGGACATATGTCACAATATCATAAATGCTCTAAATCAAACTAATCAACTGACAAAATCTGTTCTATCTTCTAACTTTAATAAAGATGCTCAAAACAACCAGAACTCTAGATTCATAGTGAGGATTTGTAGCCTTCTTGGAGTTCTGTGCTGGAGCATGGAGGACGGGGGAGGAGAGGCCTTCAGCCCTGGTCCATACCCGCCTTTCCATGCCCAGTCCATCTGTGCTGAGAGCCGACAGGAGAGGGGGTTTTTCTGGTCTTGGGCACTGGAGCGTACTTGAGAACACACAGAGAACCAGGGATAGGGGACCCAGGTTCAGGATTTGCACATTTGGCCCTGTGGATTTCTCAAGCCACGGAGATGGCATGACTAGAGGATGGCCAGAGCACATCCCCGTAAAGAGCGGAACCCAGGGCAGGACTTGCTGTTGCCTGGGTCTGAGGTCCTGACTTCCAACCCATGCTCTCAATCACTTCTTCTCACAGAGAGGGACAACAACTGGCTGTTCTCCTTGGATGCATTCTATCTCATTCAGTTGCCTTGTTTTTAGCCTCATTTTTATATATAATGAATGGAATGTTCCAACAAGTACAAATATAATTTTGACTTTTTTATAAATCTAGGCATAAATCAAATTACTTAGGAAGATGTAATTTTGGATTTTCTGGTTAGCTCTGTCTTGCTAGTCCAGCCACTTCCCAACTCCGTTTTGCACACATCCAGGGTGTCTGACTGTCCATGCCAGAAAACCACTGCCTTCATCCATGCATCACACTTGGTGTTGGTTGGCACTTACTCTCAACTGGGGAGCCATTGACTCTCCACTTGATTTTGGGTTCAGGTTGTCCTTCAGCCTCACATAACAAGATACCACTGCTCCCCGTGCTGTACACGCCACTCTGAGGCTTCTTTGTCCAGTGAGGAGGCTCTGGGGATAAAGACAAGAGCTCATGAGCGACCCTTTCTATGTCAGAGGGCCCCAACATGGGAAGGCCTGTATTTCGGTTATTCACCAGCAGGTGGCAAACACAACAAAGTCTTTCACAGTAGCTCTTCGGTCTGTTCTACAGGGCAAGGTAGGCATCGCTTTTGTGTGGTACGGGGTGTGTGTGTGTTCTAATCTGTACTCCTAACATGGAATAAAATCGACATACTAAAAATAGTTCCCTATAACCACTTTATTTAGCTACACAACTCTGCATCACTGCAGAAAATGGAGGAGGAATAAGCAGATGGCAAGCTTAATTTAGTGCAGGCTACAGCTTATTTTCAAGGAGTAGCAAGGCATCCTAAAAAGGCTGAGATTTGAAAAAACATACTCTGAGAACTTTTTAATGAAATTAAAATGTTCATCATTTATTTTAAATATTTCTTAATGGCACAGATGCATATTTGTATCTCAAGGATTTTGGAAACATCATTTCCTAGAGATATTTTTTTGTCAGCAAGTGGAGTGGGTGGGGGGCAGCTAAAACCACCTTTAGTTTTTTGCCCTCAAAACAAAGGAGGAAAAGATATATTTAAGTCACTTGTATCCTTCTATGCTCTAATGCACCAATTCTATAATGCTAAGAGGTGTTTCGGTACAGAATGAGACATTTTTCTAGTGCAAACATTACTGTCATGTTTTGTCACCTTAAGTATATTACTATGTCAGGACTGAGGACAAGATTTAGATTAAAGTGTGGATGGTTTGGATAATTTGATTTCAGAGAAAATCGCACAATACCTGCAGGTAGTAATTCCCATTAAGTGTTGGTTGCTTGGTTATTTCTCCCAAGACATTTTTGGATTTCCATCTTTAGTCAGAAAGGAAGGTCTTTCAAGATATATATGTATATGTAAAATAAAAAATGTCATTTAAAGCATTTTTTTTAAAGTAAAGTAGGAAAGAAAGCAATTCTGTGAAAAGAAAATGCCAAATTCACCAGGAAAAATGAAAATATACAAATAACCCTGGGAAGTTCAGGTCCAAGAGGAGACATGCCTTTCTAATCATTCCATAGGGTGTGGACTTAGTGATTAAATCCCAAGTAAATGTGTGTATTCATGATCTACAACCTATAAATATTTAGTCATCTAGTTTACAGTACAATAGTATAAATTATAAATTGCATTTGACTCCTAAGTGAAGGATTTTGGGGTGTGTGTAGATGTGAGTTCAAGGGTGTTGTACATTTTTGATGTTATCACTTTTTGTCTTTCCACACAACCACAACAAAATAAGACGTGAGGGTAGAGATGGAAGAAAAGACGACAATGTAGGAAGGCAAAGCAAAAACCTCCTCTCAAAATCACATAGAACACGAAAATACAGCAAATACAACTAGGCCTGAAATTGACCTGAAGACTGCAGAACTGACTCCCTACATCTGGGGAAGAAGAGAAGGTCCTCCAGAAAAGGGTAAAGTAGCAAACCTGAGATCTGATGGGACCCAAGCCCTCTCCCCACCTTGGCCCACAAGAGGGAGAGAAAGGAACGGAGCTGGGACAGGGTAGCAGCCTGGGATCAGTGAACACCTGGCCCTGATCTGCCCCAGGACCATGAGCCCACAAGCCCACATTGCCCGGTGCCCTGGTGATTGGTAGAGCTGGAGAACACAGATGGGGGAACACTCAGAGAGGCTGAGATCCCAGTCACCCACAGAGAACAGACATGCTCTACCAACCCCCTGAGAAAGAAAGCAGAGTGGACAGTTTGAAAAACTTCCCAGCAGTGAGGGGGTGCCAGAGAGGCAAGGATTGCACAGCACCCTCTGTTCAGGAAAAAGGTCAGTTGGACAATACCTCCCCAGCCCACCCTCAGCCCAACAGGTTGGGAGCCAGATGCTCCATCCCCCTCACTGGCAACACAGCTCAGAGATACTTCGCAGGGATGCATGGCTTGCCAGCCAGCAGTGAAATTAAACTTTACTCCCAAGTGGGCAGGAGGAGAACCTGAAGCATGCCTGATCAGATATATTTGGGGCCAGACAGGATGCTGTATGCAAGAACCAGCCCCAGGAGCTCTTTCCTCCTGGCAGGTGTGGTTCCAGTTCACCAGCGCTCTCAGTATTACAGCAGGCCATGTGGAGGGCAGTTCCAGCCCTGCAGCTGGGATGTGTGCACAGCCCCGGGAGCTCTTTCCTCCTGGCAGGGGCTGATCCCACTCGCCTGCACCCCCACCATTGTGGCAGGCCAGGTGGCAGCTCCAGAAAATAGTCTCCCTGCTTCCATGATCAGCTGACAGCCCACACAGGATGCCTGAAATCAGAAAACCATGAGCAATGCAGACCCACTGCACACATGCACTGCACGCCAACAGCTGTGGCTCCTGCACAGGAAACTGACCTCTGGACACTAGAGGGTGCCTACTACACAAATCTATTACCCCATAAGAAACACTAAAATAAAATGAAAAGACAGAGGAATTTGGTCCAAACAAAAATTCAAGAAAAAAACATCAGTAAGAAGGCTTAGTGAAACTGAAATCACAAATCTTGATAAAGTTTTCAAAATAAAAGTCACAGAGCTACAGAAAAATATCCAAGAACTCAGGGAGGACTTCAGCAAAGAGAAATTTTGAAAAATAACAGTATCTGAAATGAAACATACAATGGAGGGGTTTAAAAGTAGATTAGAAGAGGTAGAGGACATGGTAAATGAAATAGAAATTAGAGAATAGGAATACAAAGAAGCTGAGGCACAGAGAGGAAAAAGGATCTCTAGGATTGAAAGAATAATGAGAACTGTGTGACCAATCCAAACAGAACAACATTCACATTATAGGGGCACCAGAAGAAGAAGACGGAGACAGTGTCAGAAAGTCTCTTTTAGCAAATAATTGTTGAAAAGTTCCCCAATTTGAGTAAGGAAATAGTCACTCAGGTCAGGGAAGGGCAAAGATCTCCCAACACAAGGAACCCTAGGAAGAAAACAACAAGATATATAATAATTAAAATGGCAAAGATCAAGGACAAGGAGAGAGTATTGAAAGCAGTCAGAAGGAGAAAAAGATCACTTTTAAAGGAAGCCTCATCAGGCTATCAGCAAACTTCTCAGCAGAAATTTACAGGCCAGAAGGGAGTGGCATGATGTATTGAACGCAATGAAACAGAAGGACCTCCAACCAAGAATACTCTACCTGGAAAGATTATCATTTAAATTTGAAGTAGAGATTAAATATTTCCAGATAAGCAAAAGTTGAGGGAATTTACCACAAACAAACAATTTCTATGAAGTATCTGAAAAGGGTCTGCTCTATATGGAAATGCTCCTAAGGCTAAATAGCTTTTATTTATTTATTTTTTTGTTTGTTTGTTTGTTATTTTGGTATCAGTAATCTACAATTACATTCAGAACATTATGTTTACTAGGCTCCCCCCTTCACCAAGTCCCCCCCACAAACCTCATTACAGTCACTGTCCATCAGCATAGTAAGATGCTGCAGAATCCCTGCTCGTCTTTTAACAGAGAAAATAAACCCACAGTAAAGGTAATAGACCAATTAATTACTAAGCAAATACAAAATTAAATCAAATACAAAGTTAGTCAAGAGATAAAGAAAGAATACAGAATATGACACCTTCTATATAAAGAGTGGAGGAGGAAGAAAATGAAGAAGGGGAGGAAAAGAAAGAACCTTTAGATTGTGTTTGAAATACAGTAATAAACAATTTAAAATAAACTGTTAAATAGTAAGGAAGCTATCCTTGAACCTTTGGTAACACAACTTTAAAGTCTACAATGGCAACAAGTACACATCTATTGATAATCACCCTAAATGTAAATGGCCTGAATGCACCAATCAAAAGACAAGGAGTTACAGAATGGTAAAAAAAACAAGACCCACCTATATGCTGCCCACAAGAGACTCACTTCAAACCCAGAAACATACATAGACTAAAAGTGAAGGGATGGAAAAAGATATTTCATGCAACTAATAGGGAGAAAAAAACAGGCACTGCAGTATTTATATCAGACAAAATAGATTTCAAAACAAAGAAACAAGAGACAAAGGAGATTACATAATAAAGGGGTCAGTCCAACAGGAGGATATAACCATTATAAATATTTATACACCCAATATAGGAAAACCTAAATATGTGAAACAAATACTAACAATTAAAGGGGGAAATAGAATGCAATGCATTCATTTTAGGAGACTTCAACACACCACTCACTACAAAGGACAAATAAACAAGGCAGAAAATAATTAAGGAGACAGAGGCACTGAACAACACACTAGAACAGATGAACCTAACAGACATCTACAGAACACTCCACCCAAAAGCAGCAGGATACACATTCTTCTCAAGTGTACATGAAACATTTTCCAGAATAGATCATATCCTAGGCCACAAAAAGAACCTCAATAAATTCAAAAAGATTGAAATTGTGCCAACCAGCTTCTCTGACCACAAAAGTATGAACCTAGAAATAAATTATGCAAAGTAGACAAAAAAGCCCACAAACACATGGAAGCTTAACAACATGTCCTAAATAATCAATGGTTCAATGACCAAATTAAAACAGAGATCAAGCAATGTATGGAGACAAATGAAAACAGCAATTCAACAGCCCAAAGTCTGTGGGATACAGCAAAGGCAGTTTGGAGAGGAAAGTATACAAGACAAGCTTACCTTAAAAAAGAAAAACAATCCTAAATGAACAGTCTAAACTGACAATTAATGAAACTAGAAAAAGAAGAACAAATGAGGTCCAAAGTCTGTAGAAGGAGGGACATAATAAAGATCAGAATAGAAATAAATAAAATTGAGAAGAATAAAATAGAAAGAATCAATGAAAGCAGGAGCTGTTCTTTGAGAAAATAAACAAAATAGATAAACCCCTAGCCAGACTTACCAAGAAAAAAAGAGAGTCTACACAAACAGAATCAGAAAAGAGAAAGGAAAAATCACAAAAACACCACAGAAGTACAAAGAATTA